TTTTTTTTTTTATCTCTGTTTCTTCTGCTTGGTTGTTTGTGCTACACAAACTCTTAATTTGACTTTCTTCATTTCCCTCTCATTCTGCTCCAGGAGACCACAAAGGTAAAGCTAATAAATGTAATTCTGAGTGAGATGTATTGGATGGGAGAAAGGACAGATCAGTTTTTGCCTATTTGACAATTTTGCCTAAGGTTATACTAGGCATCTACAAGGATTGCTCCATTTATTACAAAAATGTTACTATCCTTTCAGCATAATCTGTTTACAAAATTAAAAGAGAGGGATTTCAATTCTAAGTCCCTGATTTTACCAGGGTGGCCCAGTGTAGGGCCAGCTAGGCACAGAGCAGGTTTTCTATGATCTAGACAGACTGGTAAAGGAAGAGTCCTGGTGACCTTGGTGGCTTTTTCAGGCTTCTAATGATCTTTCTACACCATTTATAGTGAAGGAAAGGCTGGCAGGCCTCCCAGCCTTCAGGGAATCTTCACTCATTCTGGGCTCTTTGCCGTTCTTTGGTAGTCGCTTCTCTGGTCTCTGCTGCTACACAGTAGAGTAGTTAGTGTCTGGTCTACCCTGCTTCACAGTGCTCTGCCCCCATTCATCCTCACTGCGACCCCGTCCTTACATACTTAGCCTCCAGACTCAGGTTGGTCCATATATGCACGCCCACACCACACTTCAGGTACCACCATCAGGCACGCATGTAAGGAACACAGGTGTCGGACTATGGATGCTAGTGGCTGCAGTGCAGAAAAAAAACCTGATCACTTCCATTTACCCTACACCCAGACGTTTTCTCTCAAGCAGAAAGTAACTTGGAGCCAATGCGATTTCTCCCAAACCTCCCCCCACCACCCATACAAAAAGGACAGGATTATTAGCAATAGCAGAAAAAAAGAGAGATCTTTACTGCCAGAGGTGACACCACACCTGCCCATGCAATCATTTAAATAAGGCACTGGCCTTTCATTGGGCAGTGATTGCTGCTCATTGATTGGCTTGAGGAGGAAGTGGGCGGTTCCTGGAGGTGCTGATTGGCGGAGGCGGGAAGTTTAAACGGAACCTCAAGCCCGCACTGTTTTGCTTTTCAGCGTTTGCAGCATCCGGAGTTGCTTGCGTTACAGTCATTTGTTTCCTTTTTCCTGGGGTGTCGCCGCTGGGAAAGAAAAGCCATCGAATTCGCCCCTACGACCCGAACAGCTGCCCCGAAGGTTAGCAGTGGCCCATCTTGGGCCTCCCGGGTGTCCGACCCGGGCGGCCGAGGTCTCGAAACTGCCATGGCGACAGGGCGAACGGGCCGCAGCTGCTGGGAGGTGAGCCCGGGAGAGGCAGGGCGACCCCGCGGCGCCGCGGCCCCGGGAGAGGCGGCTTCGCCGCCGGTCCTGTCCCTCAGCCATTTCTGCCGCTCGCCTTTCCTCTGCTTCGGGGATGTCGGCCTGGGAACCTCGCGGACGCTGGGTCTGGCCCTGGCCAACCCGAACGAGGAGGTGGCTGAGGTGAAGATCTGCCGCTTCCCGGCCCCGGACCGCGGCTTCAGCGTCACGCGGCGCTTTTTCGTGTTGCAGGTGAGCCCGGGGCGCGGCGCGCGGGCTGCGGGAGCGGAGAATGGGGTGCGGCGGGCGGGGAGCGGAGTCCGGGTGCGGGGAGCCGGCGCCCTCGGCCTGAGGTGCGAGCGCGGCCGGGCGGAGAGTAACAGGTCCCAAGCCCCCTAGTGAGTAAAGTCCATTGCGCAGCGCTGTTTGCAGTAAGGGATCAGTGCACACACTAATGATTTAGTGCTCTCTTTTTTTCTTTTCTGTCAGTTTCAGAACTTCGTTTTATGCATGTGGTTTCAGTAACTTCCCCTGCAAGTTTCTTCTGCGATGCATTGATCAGAATAACATTCTTACCCATGTCACTAAAAAGCAGAGCTTTTAGGTTCTTATTTTGATTACTGTGGATTTTCCACTGAGTATAAACCTCTGCGGGTATGAATATAGACCATGAATTGAGGAAGTTTTAGTTGTTAGTAAGTAACTGCTTTACCAGGTAGACAGAAGCAGCTCTAGTTTGAGATCCGTGGACTGGCCTGTAATCAATCTGCACAGCTACATTTCAGAATCTGCACATAACTCTTGTATTGATTTCTTCATTGGTCACACTAAAGGCTTTTTGTGTGGGTGCATTTCTTTTATTACTTTTATAAGTAAATCTTACTGTTAGTTTTAAATCAGCTGTTAATGATATTATATGTTTTCTCTTTCAAAACAAAATTTATCTATTTCCCTGGAAAAATAGTAGGCAGTTTGCTTTGTCATATGAGGCTTTTGCGTTTGATGTGGCATGTTGGTGATATGGAGTGTAGAGCTCAGCTCCAGTCTGAGCTCTGGAGTCAGACTGCCTAATTTTAACTCACTAGCTGTATGATTTTGGCAAAATATATAAAGTTTCCTGGGTCTCAGTTACTTCATCTGTAAAATGTGCATACTCAGTCATAGTACCTGCCTCCTAGGAATGTGAGCATAAATTAAGTAAATAAGATAACCTGATACTATGCCTGCAACCCAACATGTGTTTTCCAAGTACCAATAATGATGATGGCATGAACTTTACAGGACTTTGGGAGGAGCAAAGTAGTCAGTTGATCATCATTACATTTCTTTTTGAAGAAAGTCTTCAAACCACAGTCATTATATTTGTAATAGAAACACTGTACAAATTATTTAGCGTAAAAATTGCATGATTTTATTTGTATCAAGTCCTGATGCTGTACAAATGTTAATCTGGACTAAAAATTGTACGGTAAATCTTATGTACAATTTTTAATTCCAAATGTGCAGGCTGTGCAAGAAACAGAATTAAAATAAAATGATGTGGAGACTGTTCTATTGCTTTCAGATACTGTTACTTGTTTTGAACCTTTTTATTATTAATGACTTTTTTTCCTTGTAATGAATTGAGAAGTTAGTGGAGGGAAAATTAGGTATTGATTTGTTAAATGTTATTAGGGTGTAGAGTGTTACTAATTAATAACTATTAACCCTGTGCTATATTCTATATTGTATATATGTATATTGATTATTATATATCATTGCTGTTATAGTCATCTAAAATATCTTTTTATTAAGCCTAAAGAAAAAATTGTTATTTCTGTCAACTGGACACCTATTGAAGAAGGCCGAGTAAGAGAGATTGTGACATTTCTTGTAAATGATGTTCTAAAACATCAAGCCATACTACTAGGAAATGCAGAAGAAAAGAAAAAGAAAAAGGTAATATGTTTTAATTGCTTTATGATCTATTCTAAGAAAGTACTTAATGATATGTTACAGTTATTTTGATAACAATATTGAAGGAGCATAATACTGCTTATTTAAGGTAATGTTGAATAGCTGTTAATTTAATCTATATGTTTTGTTTATTTCTGCAGAGGAGTCTTTGGGGTACCACTAATAGAAAGAAACTATCAACCTCTTCAACTCACAAGCGGACTGCATATAATCAAAATATTAATAAGACATTTAGTGTCCCCCCAAAAGTTGAAAGAGTTAGGAGCCCACTACAGTCCTGTGAAAATTTTGCTATGCATGAAGATTGTTCCCCAACAGAAAACCATTCTTTAATCCTTAAAAATGAAATACCCTTATCACCTATTAGCTCCACTTTTAAAGAATGCCAGGATGAGACTGGCTTGCCATTTTGTATACGTCGATCTACTACTTACACATCTCTTCCTTTATCTGATAATCAGGAACTATTGAAAGTAGAACATGTTAACATTGCAAAAGAGTTTAATGAGAAAGTTATAACTGGAACTTCCTCTAACTCCATAAATAGTATTAATGACCACGTTGATGAAGATAAACTTATTCTTACCCCAAACTGTTCTTCAACTTTGAATATTACACAAAACCTAGAACATTTTTTAAGTCCAGATTCCTTTGTGACTAATAGCCATGCAGTTAATAATGAACTAGAATCAGTGGCGACTTTATCAGATACATTTATGAAACATAATTCAAGGCCTGTGCATTTGGAATCAAAAATTGTAGATAAGATATACCGTACCATTTTAAGTCCAGATACTTTCATAAATGATAATTATGAACTAAATCCAAAGCTGGAATCAGAGTCAGTTCAACCCATTCTATCTCCAAATCAATTTGTAAAAGATAACATGGCCTATTTATGCACATCTCAAGAAACAAGTAAATTATCACCATTACCAAATGAAGCCTCACTCTGTCCTCAAGACTGCAGAAGAAATGGAGTTTTACCTTGCATTCCTGAATGTCAGGACCCAAAATCCCCCAAAGCTATTTTTGAAGAAGCCAACACTATAGAAATGAAGTCAAATTGCTACAGCCTTATACAACAAAATCAGTCTAAATGTTTGGCAGCTCAGGAGGTTTCTAGTTACAACCAAGAGAAACAGCTAAAAAGAAGGCCAGTACTTTCTGCTACTATTACCAAAAGGAAACCCACTTGTGCGGGAGGAAACCACACTGATACTGGTAAACCAAAGGCAAAAAGATCTCTCAACAGTGCTGTAAGTAAATGTGAAAGAGTAATAGGTAATCATAAAGATACTTTTACTACATATCTTCCCATTATACAGCCACAATTAAGAAAGTGTAAGAGTTACAGAAATGAAATAACTCCTTCCTCAAAGACATTTTTAGGTGCTCTCAAAAGAAAGAGTGAGAGATATGTGGAAAATGCAGATGTGAGCGTGACAGTTATGGAACATACGGAAGTCCAAGAAATCAAAAGAATCCACTTTTCTCCTATGGAGTCTTCAACTGTTAAAAAAACAAAAAAGGTGATGACGCCCACATTAAAACGTACTCACAAAGACAAATTGAACCTGCAGAAGAAAACCGGTAAGTTTTATGTATAAGAGAAGTATTTTTGGTTTGAAAAATGATATTGCTAAGCTTGAATTGACTTGTACATTTAATTTTTTAATGGTAATAGAAGATAGGGCTAAATTGTGAAATAGTTGTGATCTTATTTAGAATTTGATGTTTCGTTCATCGTGATATTCTGCATTAATTCAGATTTTGAAATGGTACGTTAAAATGATTTTCTTGTTTCCTGAGTTTTGTGCCCAAGAGAAATACTTTTTCTACTTGCTTCACCTTAGTCCGGACACTGATTGGAAGGCCCAATAAAATGCCTGGCCCTTTGACTAACTCCTGAGGCCTGCAGAAGAGACCTTTGCTTACCTGTGCTTCCAGTGACTTATTGTCTTAGCTTTTATTCAGTCATTAGTAAGGAATCAAGATAGCACCCAGCGCTGTGCATTCCTTAATGCTCAGACTATTGCCTACTCAAAAACAGTCAAGGCTAATGCCATTTTGAAGTCTAGGCAGGAAAACAGGCCAACTAGTCATATAAGATAATAGGCTTCTACCATGCCTAAGAAATATCTCACATCTGTATTTTTATCTTATTTTCTTTAAACATCCCTAAGTTGAACCATTTTCTTTATATTTTCAACTTGAATTGTGTTCTCTGACTATTCTTTCATTGTGTGGCCTTACCAAACTTAATTCTCCCATTAACAGTTTTCAGTACGACCTCTCAATTATGTTTTCTTTGCTACATTCCTGACTTTGGGGCTCCTTGCATTATAGTGGCACCTTTCTTATTATATTTACTTCCAAAACATTGTACTCTTTTCTCCCATAAAAAGAAATGAAAACTGGCCCTCCCTGGTGGCGCAACCGGTTAAAGCACAGCACTATGAAGCTACAGCAGTCACTGCAGCACTAGTTCCATTCCTGGCCAGGGAGGTGACCCAATTGGTGTGGCAGATCTCTCCTGGACGCGCTGCTCACTTCAGCAGTGTATTTCAGCCTGTTCTGCTCCCTGTTCTGTCTCTGGTGAATCCTCTCACCCCCCCTGCACCTCTAACCAGTACCCCAGTTCTATATGCATAAATAAATAAATCTTTTTAAAAAATGAAAACCAACAGCAATAAAACAGCTCAAAGCTCATTTTTTCAAATTACCCCACCCATGCTGCTCCAGTGTCAGTGAAAGATTATGCTCCAGATTTTTACATCTGGTACATGATAACCTTCCCAAACTGCTACTGTTACTATTCTTTACAATATCCTTGTGGAAGATCTTTCTTTGACTTGGATCATCTGACCTCAAATCTCTGATGTGCCAGATAGGTAGAAGTACTGGCTCCTGTCCAATATGTGTCCTCCTTGCTTCCTTGTGCAAGGACTTTCAGTGGCTCCCTGCTATTATGAGATGATTTACAAACTTGCTATTCTGTTGTTGAAGATATCTTCACATGATCTCTGTTATTCAGTCTGCTATCTTAATTCTGCAATATTCAAGCTGTTCTAGTGTTATCATTCCACTTATTTATCCTCTTACTTTCTTATCTGTTGTTTTCTCATGAATTCAGAGGGCTATAAACAACTTTTATTAACTGTTATTCTATAAACGACTTGTATTAACTGTTTTTCCTTTAGCAACGTTAAATAATCATGTTCCTTATTTTAACAATTTGCATGCATTTGTGGTCCCTTTAAATCAATTTAATTTTTTTCTGTAAAGGTCCAGGTAGTAAATTTTTAGGTTTGCAGACCATATGTTCTTTATTGCAACTACTGAGCCCTGTCACTGTAGAAGGAAAATAGTCATAGATACTAAATAAGTAAATGGATATGATTGTGTTTCAATAAAATTTTATTTATGGACATTAAATTTTGGATGCTCTCTTCTCCTTGTTCTCATAAATCTTCTTGTATATGCTTCACCTTTACATGGTATATTTCCTTTTAAATTCCTGTAGCATACTGAGAACTTCTGTGCGTAGAGATCATAATTTTCAATTTTCAGTCTCAGCACCTAGCACAGAATCTGGTATATAGGCACACAATAAATTGCAGTTGAACCTGAAACATAGCTTTTATAGACAAAACATGAATTGTATGTTCCAACCTGTAGTTTTCAGATGAAGTTATTGTTGACTGCTGATCTTGTAGCATCATACCAGGATCATAGTAGTTATCCAATATTTAATGAATATGATTGTGATGAGCACAAACTTTAACTTTTTCACAGCTCATCAAGGAAGTTATTTTATCTTTTAACACTATTCTGTTTTTTCATTTATTTCAGATTCACTAGTACACAGAACTCCTCATTCTAAAATCAGAAAAAGGACAAGACCCACTGTTGCTGTGGCTCAGGCCAGTTTGACCTTCATAAAACCTTTGAAAATAGGTAAGTGTTTATAATCTTTAGTCTGAGAAACCAACTTGAAATGAAAGTTAATTTCATTTCATTTAATCTTCAGTGAAGGTTAATTGTAATTTCCATGTAATTGAAGAATCATGTACTCAAATAATAATTAGGGCATTCCATCAGATTTTAATAAAATTAACTCTCCTCAACTTAGAATTTTAAATAACCGGGAGGTAATACCTTATGTTTTCTTTTTTGATTGCATTTTATACTGAAAATGTTTTCCACTACTTATAGTAAGTAGTGGAAAAGCAAATAGTGTTCAAGGTTCTGAAATTAATCAGATGGCTAATCATGATGGCCTATTGCAGTTAGTATAATAAAGGAGAATTTCATTTGAAGTAACCTATTGTTTTCTCAGATATTCCCAGACACCCAATGCCATTTGCTGCCAAGAATATGTTTTATGATGAACGATGGAAAGAAAAGCAGGAAAGGGGCTTCACTTGGTGGCTAAATTTTATATTAACTCCAGATGACTTCACTGTAAAAACAAGTATTTCTGAAGGTAAAAGTTAATTTGCTTATTAAATGTAGGCATAGTTTTTAATGTAATGTTTTAATCTTATATGTTCTATTGTAATTATGACATGTTTTGCAAATTCATTGACAATCCTCCTTCAAAAAAAAGCAAAGAAAAAAGCAATTCATTTAACTAAGTGAAAAATGTTTCGTAGGTGAGAATTTGTAGGGAATATTTTATAGAAGGCACTGAAATATTTCTTTGTGCTCTCCAATTTCACTTATCAGCAATGCAATTTCCAGCCTTTCAGGGGAATGGGTTTTATTTGAATACATATTTAAGCTGAGTGAAAATGGCTACTGAGAAATCCAGTTCAGTCTTAAGTTCATTAATTTAATGTCATGTCCTGTTGAATAAACTAACAAACCACTGTAAACTGATCACTTCATTTATATTGTCTCCACTTTTTTTTTTTTTTTTTGCCTCCCTCATCAGTTACCTTAGGTTATGTTTGTAATTGAACTATAGAATTATGAAGGATCTCAGAATAAGTTGTTGCCAGGAATTTTTAAAACATCTCAGTGTTTACTCTGGAGAAAAGAAGACTTGGCTAGAAAAAAGGGAGCTACACTACCCTTCAAACACTTGAAAGATTTTCTCTAAAAACAACTTCTGTAGTTCTTCCATAGAAGTTACAAGGATTACCTCAATTCATAATCTGAAAAATCTCTCTAAACATTTAAAATGTCAAACCATCATTTAGGCTGTATTTAAGGTGATGATTTCTCTATTGTAGTATTTAAGGAGAACTAGTCTGTATTTGTTCAAGAAGCATATAGAGATTTTTTACCTTAAAAGACCCTTTGATTAGGTGATCTCTAAGATGATTGTTTTCCTAAAGTAAATAAAATCTAACTTTTAGTTCTCAATAGAAAATATATTTTATAAAAATTCAGATTGCATTTCAAAACATGTTTGATTAAAATATTACCTTGTTTGAGTGTTTATCTTTTTTATGTCTAAAGATGATGGAAACAGAGAAACCGTGTAAGAGGCTATTTCATTTTTCTAGAATAGAAATGATAATGTTTGAATGATAATGTAGTGGAGGTTGTGAAAAGTGGTTAGACTTGGGGTATATTTTGCAGGTAGAGTCAACAGGTCACAGCAGTAGTTTGACCAAGATAGGGAATGAATACTGACACATTGACTTTGAGTTGAGAAACAGAGAGGCAAACTTAAAAGGGACCAAGAATAGAGTCTGTTTTGCCATCTTAAATTGCATATGCTGGATTTAAGGAACTCAACATTTAACCAAACCGTTCTTTTTTTTCCCACCCAGTCAATGCTGCTACTCTTCTTTTGGGAATGGAGAATCAACATAAAATAAGTGTTCCTAGAGCTCCAACAAAGGATGAAATGTCTCTCAGGGCTTATACTGCTCGGTGCAGGTTAAATAGATTACGTCGTGCAGCATGTCATTTGTTTACTTCTGAAAAAATGGTTAAAGCTATTAAAAAGCTTGAAATTGAAATTGAAGCTAGGCGGTTAGTTGTACGAAGAGATAGACATCTCTGGAAAGATGTAGGTAAGAAGACTAACAATTTTGAGATTAATTTTTTTTTAAAACACTCGACCAGATATAGTGAAATAAATACACAATTGACTTTATTGCCTAGGCGCTCACAAACTTAAATATGATCATTTGTATATTTGAAATGGAAGTATACTTTATTTAAATCATGCCAGTGCCTCATTTTTCTGCTGATTTCTCTCCCCTAAATTTTTTTTTTTTCTTTTGATTCGTGTACTGAGTTTACTTACTTTTCACATGCATTTCAGGAGAACGGCAAAAAGTCCTGAATTGGTTGTTGTCATATAATCCTTTGTGGTTACGAATTGGCCTAGAGGTAAATAAACATTTTAGATTTTGAATTAAAAATGAGCATTATATACTTTCAATAGCTGTTTTAACAAAATAGTGGTTTTATTTATAGTCATTTGATTAATTTAGCTGATCTTGCAGTATAAGATTTAGGTCCTTGAATAAATGTTCATTGACATCTTAGACTATACCTTTATATTTTATTGTTATATTGTTACAAAGCATTTTTTTCTATTAGTTTCTTAAATATATTTGATTTGATGCTGACTATAATCAAAATATAAAAATAATAAGTTCTTATTTGAGCTGTAGTAAATGGCAATCAGACTGTTTTAAATATATTTTCTAATTTAAGCCTCTCCAAAATACAGTGATATGTTAATATTTCCACTTCACTAAAATAAACAGGAATTTAGATATTATATGCTGGGATATCAATAATTGGGTGAGATTTAATTCTGCACCAGCCTAATATCAGAGTCTAACCTTGTAGCCATTTTAAGGGCACACTACTCAAAAAATGTCATTTAAGTTTGAGTTTTTTCCCATGGTTTTAGCTCGATAATGTTAAAACTGAATGAATTAAGAAGTCACTAGTAGACTGTTAAAAATGTGCTTATGGCCCTCCCTCGTGGCGCAGCGGGTTAAGGCACAGCACTGAGAATCTAAAGCCGCTTCTGCATGAGTTCGATTCCCGCCTGCCCCGGAGGTGACCACATGGCGTGGCAGACCTCTCCTGACCCGCCCACTGATCCCCTCAGCAGTGTACTTCATTGATCTGCCTGTTCTGCTCCCCACTCTGTCTCTGGTGAAGCCTCTCACCGCCCCTGAGCCTCTGGCCTGTACCCCAGTTCTGTATGCAAAAATAAAAAATAAATAAATCTTTAAAAAAAAAAATGTGCTTATATGTAAAGAAATCATCTGTATTTCCATTTCCTTTTAGTAGTTTGCTGGGATACTTTTTTGAATCTTTTAACCTTTGTCCTGTGGCATATCCTGTTCTTTAACTTATTTAAATCTGTGCAACTGAAGAGACTCTACAATAATCTGGATTTTATTTATCAAGAAGTTGAAGCTTAGAAACACAAGTGATATGCTTACTATGGTCATATAGCTTAATGGTAACATGGCTTAAGTTTTAGTTCAGTTCCCAAACCCTTTCATTAATCAGAAAAGTATATGTGAACTGACCATGCTTCACATGTCAAATAATTCTAGGTATGTTACTTAGCAAATACCCATGTCATTTCTGTACTAAGGATAAAGTTCATTTTGAAATCATTGTCTACTCTTCCCCTATTTCATTTCTTTGCCTTTAAGAGGTAACATAGTCCTGACTTTACCCTTAATTTCTTTTTCAGACAATTTATGGAGAACTCATCTCTTTGGAAGACAACAGTGATGTCACAGGATTGGCTATGTTTATTCTTAATCGCTTACTTTGGAATCCTGATATAGCAGCTGAGTATAGACACCCCAGTGTACCTCATTTATATAGAGATGGTAAATAGTTCAGTCTCTACTGCATTATTTCTGCCTAAATGCTTGCTTTCTCATTTTTCTTGTTTAAATTCTGCCATCTCCCTTCCTCCGCACCTGTCACTAACCATCATTTCCTCTATCACTATTTACAGTTATATTTAGTTCTTTCTTATAGCTACCCAGTCTGCTTCCCTACTGGACTCTAAACCCTGTGGGGGAACCTTTTTTTTTAGTTTGCTGCTATTTATCTTGCATATAGAATGATGTCTGCATATAGTAATTGTTCATTAAATATTTCTTGAATGGGACAAGCTAAAATTTTTTATGTTACTGTACCTCTCTCAACCATGGACTGGAAATATTAAGTAGTACTTGTGCCATATTATGAGTATTGAGTGAATTTATAGATATTCAGCACCTTGTTGTTTTTACTATTACTATTTTTCCTGGCACATTATATTTTTATTTGTCTTTTGTAGACTAATTTGACATGCTTTTTGTACTTTATTTTAGGTCATGAAGAAGCTTTATCTAAGTTTACATTAAAAAAGTTACTGCTGTTGGTTTGTTTCCTTGACTATGCTAAAATCTCCAAACTAATTGATCACGATCCTTGTCTCTTCTGTAAAGATGCTGAATTCAAGGTATACAGTTCTCAATTTACATTTTATGTTTTTTTGTGTTTCACATTTGAGGCCTTCACTTGCTTGTATTGTATATTTTCTTCTTAGAAAAAAATTTAGTTTCCCAATGAACAGTAATCTGCCAGGGAAATCTTATCAGTAATTCTAATTCTCCAAGCCTTTTGTTGGTGAGCATTTCACCAGCAAGACTTACATTACTTGAAAATGAAACTCCGGTTGACTTGAAAGTGAATAAATTTAGAGGGAAAATTATTTCTGAATTTAATATATTATCAAATTATTGCTCATTTTGATAGTGTACTATCATTTATAAACATTTTTTAAAAAGATCTTAAATTGTAAATATATGAGATTTGCATTATTACCAAATTATATGAAACTTATTCTTTTTATACCACTTTATTTTACAGCACAGAATAATTTGAAAAGTTTGTTTTTTGCTTTATATAATTGATATATAATACCTGAAACTTGTTTCTCTATAGACTAGTAAAGAAATTCTTCTGGCTTTTTCACGAGACTTCCTAAGTGGTGAAGGAGACCTTTCCCGTCATCTCAGCTTATTGGGACTACCTGTTAACCATGTTCAGACACCATTTGATGAATTTGATTTTGCTATTACAAATCTTGCTGTAGACTTACAGTGTGGAGTGCGTCTTGTGTAAGTACTAGAAACAGCTTTATTTTTATCTAATGAAATGAACTAAAAATTTTTTCTGTGCGTGCATAATTTTTCTTGTTTTTTCATCTAAGGAAATAAATTTTGGGTTAAATAAATTGTGATAAGTGTCTGTAGCAGTTATGTAAGTATTTGCACCAGAAAAATGTCGTTTCAGTACCAAAAATCTTGTATGGAGTCCTTTCTTCTTTTTTACATTCATAAACCTCAACCACTAGTTTTAAAATGAGAAATAACTATTTCCTAGCCATGGAGCAACAGAGTTTTTGGTTGTTTTTGGTGGTTGTTTGTTTGTTTGTATGTTTTCTCAAATTTTATTGATTTGTCCGTACTTAATATGACTATATCATTACATACCATGATTGTCCATATTGCTTCCCCAACCAGTACCAGACATCCTTTGCTATCTTGCAAATGTCCTTTTCTTCTCTCTTTCCCCTCTTAACTTCCTGTCCTTTCCCTTTGGTGATCAGTTATATGTTTCACATAGTCTAAGAATTTTTGGGGGTGCTTTTTCCTATTTGTTTCCTTTGGTTATTTATATTCTGCAATGAATGAAACATCTAGTAAGTGTCCTTCAGTTTATGACTTACTTCTTTTAGCATAATCACCTCAAGAGCCATACTTTTGTCCCAAAGGCACTATTTCATCTTTTTTAAATAGTTGAGTAGTGTTCCAAATATATTCCATGATTTCTTTATTCAGTGTCTGTCATTGGGCACATAGACTGGCTCCATAACTTGACTGTTGTGAATACTGCTGTTATGAACAGAGTGTATAATGCTATTCATCTTTTTTATTAGAGTTTTCATACTCTTCGGGTAAATACCCAGCATGGTATAAGCAACAGAATTTTGACAATTTTTTTTTTTTTTGAGTCTTTCTACCCTACAACCTTTTATTTTGGACACTTTAAATATTTAAATGTTACTTTTATATAATAATTTCTACTGAAAATTCCTTTGCCTTTAGGAGAATAATGGAACTGCTCACACAGAATTGGAGTCTCTCAAAGAAACTTAGGGTCCCTGCAATAAGCCGTCTTCAAAGGATGCACAACATTGACATTGTTCTTCAAATTCTTCAATCACGAGGAATTCAGTTAAATGACGAGCATGGTAAAATAAAAATCAAGTAGAGATAAGATCTTTTCTTCTCACTGAAAATTGATATGTACATATATTGTGCAAATGGATTATGTTTTTATTTGTAGGAAATACAATCCTATCTAAGGATATTGTGGATAGACACAGAGAAAAAACTCTTGCATTACTTTGGAAAATAGCATTTGCTTTTCAGGTATTGTGCATTTGGTACATTTTGAAAATTTTATAACGTTTATATTGATTTGTGAAAGCATTTGTGTCAAATAAAGACTGACAATAGCAAATATTACTGGCTAAAATTTATTCTCTGCTAAGCACAGTGATAATTGCTTTATATATTCCAACTTAATCTTCACAAAACCCCTAACATATTGGTGTTATCATTAATATGTAATGAGGGCACTGATGCTAAAATGTGGCATCACTGATAGGAAGCAGAGCTGAAATTAAAGCCTAAGTTTACCTGACCCTAAATCCTATATACAGTTGACCTTTAAATGTTCAATACTTCTGAAATGTCTATAGTCATTGTATGGTATCAGAGGCACTGGCTTTGGGATTCCTAGAGATACCAAAATTTGTGATTTCTCCAGTGACCTATTGCTGTCCCTTAGTAACCACAGGTTCTGTATTTAACCAGCAGATATTAGAGGGTGATTGAATCTGAAAGTGAACATGCTAATGAAAAGTGTTTGTCAGTGGACATGTGCATTTCATGTCCACATTAAGGGTCAGCTGTGTTTAACCAAGCAGCACATTCCACCACTTTTATGTAGACCTCAGTTGTCCTAAAAAAAATTACAAGACTGACTTTAGTTTACAAATAACATGAAAAACATAAAGATGTCTACCTATTTTGTGTTTTAGGTGGATATTTCCCTTAATTTAGATCAGTTAAAGGAAGAAATTGCTTTTTTAAAACACACCCAGAATATGAAGAAAGCAATGTCTGTAATATCATGCTGTTCTGAGGTTGTTATTAATAACAAAAGAGATAGAAGGAATAGTTGTTCCTTTGAGCAATGTGGTGAAAACATCAAGCTATTGATGGACTGGGTGAATGCTGTTTGTGCCTTCTATAATAAAAAGGTAACTATTTTAGCTTCATTTTGGTTCTGTTTTTGTTTTAGCCTAGTATCTTTAAATAAATTTTGGTATAGGTCAATTAAGTTTAATGCATAGATCTTTTTAGTTTAAATATATCAGCAAACTTTTCCTCAACTGCGTTAGGGTGTGTACTACATCATACACCATATTTTATGTGTCACCAATTGCAAAAATATTATCACTAAAAAAGAAGAAATACCCTAAAGGGGAGTTTTAATAGGAGACACTTGCTTAGGAATAGGACACCAAAGGATCACATTCTTATTCTCAAGGTAAATGCAGATATGTCTGCCACATAGAAAAGAACCAATAAATAACCTTACCATGATGTAAAGCGAGGAGAAAAAAAAGTCTAAGTTGAGTCTTATTATCCTTTGTATTTCAGAGATAGTGTATTTCAGAGTGAAAAGTAAATACATGAGGGCCTCCTTGGTGACACAACTGGTTAGGACTCAGCACAACAAGCTAGCCACAGCTGCTTCAGTGCAAGTTCCATCCCCTGCCCCAGAGATGTTCCATATGGCAAGGGAGACATCTTTCACCTGCTGGCTGCTCCCCTCATCAGTGCACTTCATAGAGCTGCCTGTTCCTCTTCCCACTCTGTCTCTAGTGAAGCCTCTCACTGCCTTGCACCTCTGGCTTGTACCCCAGTTCTGTGTGCATAAATAAATAGATCTTAAAAAAAAAAGGGAAATACAGGAAAGTAAAGTTTTCTTACATTTTGAGTATAATATCTGGAAAGGAATATAAAACAAGAACAAAGATATAACTAAATCCTGTGTTGGAATAGTTAATTCTTTATAATGGAGAACTTGGCTATGAATAAGGTATTAGTAGGTATTGTTAGCAGTTAATGTGATGTTATTAACTGTTAAAAGAAATTGTGCACTACAAGAACATTTGTATCTATATTATAATCTATTAATTTTTTTCCTGCTATTTCCAATCAGGTGGAGAATTTTACAGTATCTTTCTCAGATGGTCGTGTGTTATGTTATCTGATCCACCATTATCATCCTTGCTATTTGCCTTTTGATGCTATCTGTCAGCGTACTACTCAAACTGTGGAATGTACACAGTCTGGTTCAGTGGTGTTAAATTCATCTTCTGAATCTGATAGCAGTCCTCTGGATATGTCTCTTAATATACTTGATAATGGTCAGTCCCTTTTGGTTGAGTAAATTTTCCATTCTTTTTCTTTGCTGTGCTGACTATTGATCAGGTTGGCTAATTTTTTTTTTTTTCCACAATAACATAGTAGACAATACATCAGAACTACACAAAGAACTCCTAGAAAATGAAAAGAAAAACTTTCAGTTGGTTAGGTCTGCAGTTAGAGACCTTGGTGGAATACCTGCTATGATTCATCATGCAGATATGTCAAATACAATTCCAGATGAAAAGGTAAGTAAAAGGAAAGTTCTTAATAATCCTTAATAATAAGAGTTTCAGAAGATGATAGTATATATCATACATTCCCTGTTGACCTTCTGTTTTCAGCTTTTTCTGTATTTTCTCTTAGGTTGTTATAACATATTTGTCATTTCTTTGTGCAAGACTTTTGGATCTTCGTAAAGAAACGAGAGCTGCTAGAATTATACAGACAACCTGGAGAAAATATAAACTAAAAACAGATCTAAAGCGCCATCAGGTACTCCTGAAAATATACACTATAAAATATACATTAAACTATAATATAAATGGTAATTGATAAGATGGTCAATAGTTCATTGTTCCTTGCTAATTGTTCTTACATTTTACTGATCTATCCAGTTTTTTAAGTAATTTGAGTAATTGTATATGTTTTGAATTGGATATGTGTATTTTTTGCCTAACCCCAGATGTTTCCTTCATTTGATGTATCTTTCAGCTGCCTTCCACCTGCATTTAGTTTTCCTTAGGGGAAGTGAAATAACTTAAATACTTTGTAAATTTGTAAAGAATAAACTGGGAATACATAACTTCACTCTTCATTCCTTTCTGTTGAAATCTAACCTGCCTGAAAGGGGTTGGGATTTTCCATTAACTTTTCATGCTGTGTTCTAATAGGCTTAACTTAAACTAGTGCTGCATGGGCCTTTGGTGTCAAGGGCCTGTTTTTGCTGTCTCGTTGTCTTCTCATTTGGCCTGCCTTGTAACTATCTTCCAGATTATCCTTTATTACTTTAAAAGTGGTATTTTTGGCACCCATTGTTTTAGTAAAACATTTAGGACATGGGCACAGGGAAAGGGATGTTATATATCATTTCTCTACTATCCCATATAATACAAAAATATGCATGAATGTAAAATTGGTTTGAGTTCTGAGAATGTTTTTTTATCAACTTGTGAAATTCTGTTCAACAGTCTATTCTGATCCTTTAACCTCCCTACCAGTAATCCTGCATTTATTTATTTGCATTGTAAAAGTACAGGAAGACATGCTTAATAAAATTATCAGATATTTCAGAAATTTGTTCTACAATATTGTTCCTGAATTTTGAAATAAAACACATTTTTTTTATGAAGTTCTTAGAAAGGAGATATGTAAAGATAAATTTGACAGCTCTTAATGTATATTGTCTTATACCATATCAAACTTGGATGTGCTAATTGAAATAATTTGCTCTTGCCTTCCCAAAGTCATGGTAGTAAGTTTAAGGAAATAGGCAGTAACTTAAAGTCACACTTTTTGCCTACTATACCTTCTGTGCCTTCTCAGGATCGGTATTCTTGTCCACATAGTTCCTTGCAGGATTATGTTACACTCTGGCAAGCTTCTAGAATAGTTTTAAGAAAGCTTTCTGGGAAGACTTTTGTGACCAGTCTTCAAATTATTTCATTCATTCTTTTTATGTGGCACTAACTGAGAGATTTAAAAATCCCAAGAAACAGATATCTATCAGAATTTCTTTTTTTAGTAATAGAAGTGGCTTTATTTTCTGCTCAGGTTTACAGTATTCAGATACTAACTATAGTGATTTCTTATCTCTTTGCTAATGAGTTTCCTTTTCTTGATTTATGTATTTGGCCCTCCACATAGCAGAAATCTACCTGTGTTTTGAAGACTATTACTTCTGTCCTTCTTTCAAATGACCATAGTCCCTCTCATGTACACTTACATTAAATATCCAATTATGTCTTAATTTGTTACTTAGATCATTAAGCTGTAGATTGCCTGCATATTTTGATAGAAATATCTTAAGTAAGCTTAGAAAACTTACCTTGAGACACTTGTATGGGTTTTATATTTTGTTTGCATGTCTTTGTGATATGTACATATACATACATGCATCCACATATATACACATGTCTGTGCACATGTGTGCGTGTATATGCATGTATATTTGCACGTATCACAAAGATATGAGATGTATGTGTGCACACATATGTATATGTGTATGTGGCACGTGTATGTGGCACATGTCTCTCTATGTGTGTGTGTGTGTATAAACTATTGAGGGTAGAATGACTCAAACTCTTCTCTTACAGTGACAAATGAAACATTTTCCAAAATTCTCTTGAGTCATTACACTGCTCAGTTCTTCTTGTCAACCAGTGGGCATGAACTCTAAAACAAAGTAAAATCTTGCATTTGCTACACATACAAGGCTTAATAAATAAACAGGTAACAAATTAGGATATCTATAGTAGAGGATTAAAAATGATGGCCTGCAGTCTACTTTCAAGTCAATACTGAGAATGTGGGAATTTTCATTACCATCAATTAGTTTATATAGCTTTTCAAATAGTTGCTAAGGTTTGTAATATATTTACCTCTTTGGATTTAATCTGCTTTCCATTTCTAGCTTCTCTGATACCCCATAAAATGCTCTGTTCTTCTGTCAGTACCATACTCATAGTTTTCTAATATATTTTAAAATTGGGGTGGTGAACTAAATTTGAATTTCTATAGCCATAATATCTATAGGCTTCAATAAATTGGTCTGAAGTGATTAAGTTTTCAATTCATTTTCATTTTCTTTTCTTTTTTTTTTTAATTTTAGGAGAGAGACAAAGCTGCAAGAATTATACAATCAGCTGTAATAACTTTTCTAACTAAGCAACGCTTGAAAAAAGAAGTTAATGCAGTGTTGACCATTCAGAAGTATTGGCGAAGGCTCTTAGCACAGAGAAAATTAGTAATGTTGAAAAAGGAAAAACTAGAAAAAGTGCAAAATAAATCAGCATCAGTTATTCAGGTATAGTGTACAGAAATTTTTCAATTTAACAAGTTTTAATGATATTTTTAAGAAAGAAAATATGATGAAGTTTTAAATGGTTACATTTTAGGTCTCTACATTTATCTATTATTTTAACAAATATCTAATACAACTGTACTACCTGTAAAACTCTATGTTGTATTCAGCATAAGGCTCAAACAAGTTAAAATGCCTATTTTTCTCCCTGGCCATCAGGAAACAGTATTCCCATCACCCAGAAAAACTTCTGCATGCTCTCCCTTTGTGTCTTTTCTCCCTCCACACCTACCCCCAGAGAATTGCAGTTCTGTTCTTTATTACTATAGTTTTGTCTTTTTGAGAATGTCACATAAAAGAAATCATGTAATATGTAACCTTCTACAACTGACTTTTTTCAGTCAGCATGATGTCTTTGAGACTCTTCCAAGTTGTTGCATATATCAATAGTTTTTTTTATCACCATACAGTTATCATTTTATAACTTAACCACAATTTGTTGAAAGATGTTTGCAATTTTTTTTCCCAGTTTTAGATGATTTTGTTTCATTGGGTAAATATCTAGGAGTGGAATTGTTGGATCATTGGTAAATGTCAGGAAAACTTTATAAGACATTGCCGCCATTTTTCAAGGGTAGCATTTTGCATTCCCTGTCCCAATATGTGAGAGTTCTGATTGTTCTACACCCTCACCAATACTCTGTTCTCAGTGTTTTCTAGTCATTCTAAGGAATATATATTCAGTGGCAGCTCATTCTGGTTTTAATTTGTATTTTCCTGATGATAATGCTATTGTGTTGTTTTCAAATGCTTAGTTTAAGCCTTCTAAATATCTCCATTGGAGTCAGGTACATGACCATTATTCCGTGAGGTCCTGCTCCAAGTGTCTGTTAGTAAAGTGTCTATTGAAATGAGTTGTTCATCTATTCGAGTTTTAAGAATTGTTTATATATTCTGGATACAAGTCCTTCATCAGTGATTTGCAACCCTTTACCCCCAAATTGATGTTGTCTTTTTTTCTCTTAACTTTTACAGAGCAAAAGTATTTAGTTTTGATGAATTTCAATTGTCACTTTTCTCATCTTATTGATTAAACTTTTAGTATTATTCCTAAGTAATTTTCAGAAGATTTTCATTTTAAACTCAGACTTACAGTGTACAGTAAGGTGTCACTTGAGAAAGAGGATGCATTCTGAGAAATAAATCAATCAACAGTTTGTACAAACAGGGCAGAGGATAATTATACAAACCTAGATGACATAACTTGCTACATACCTAAACTATAAGTAGTGAGACCTTCCTGCATATGGTCCATCATTGACTAAAGCAACATTATGTGATACATGACTATACTTGGGTTAATTTTTGTCTAAGTTATGAGGGCTCATTTATTACATGTAGATGTTCAATTGTTCTAATATATTTTATTGCAAAAGCTACTCTTCTTTTGTTGAAATGTTTTTATACTTTTGTCATAAATCATTTGGCCACTGTTGCTCCTTGGTGGCCTAGGGGTTCAATGCCAGCACTAGCATCATGACAGCCTGGGTTTGATCCCCAATCAGGGAGCTAACCCACATGGTACAGATCTACTGTCTCGCCCACTGCTCCCCTCAACAGTGTATTTCACTAGACCCACTGTCTCTGATGAATCCTCTTAGCCCCATCTCCCCCTCACACACCTCTGACCTACACCCTAGGTCTACACAAAAATAAAAATAAATAAGTAAGTCATTTGGCCATATCTTTGGAGTCTATTCTGTTCCACTAATATAAGTGTACCTTTGCCAGTGCCACAATGTCTTCATTACCATATAGGCCGTCTTAAAAATGGGTTGTTTAACTTTGCAACTTTATCCTTTTCAAAGCAGGTTGACCTTTGTTGCTCCTTAAATTTTTAGGTCCAGATTTACTTCATCTTCAAAATTTCCTACTGAATTTTGGTGGGAATTTTGTAACATCTGTAGATATTTGGAACACAACTGACATTTTTTTATTTTTTGTTTTTACTCCCTCATTTCACTGACAGAATTCCAGCACAGTATTGAATAGCACTGGTGAGGTTGAATACCACTGCTTTGTTCTTGATCTAAGAGGAAAACATTCATATTAAATAGGATATGTAATAAGATTTTTTTTTGATAGATTCCCTTTAACAAATTGAAGAAGTTCTTTTCTATTCCTAGTTTACTAAGAATTTTATTGTATAGATATGTTGAATTTTCTAAATGCTCTTTCTGCTTCAGTGAATATTCCCATGTAATGTAATTTCTCCTCCTTGGACTATTATTATGAAGGATTACATTGAAAAATTTTCAAATCTTGAACTAAGTTTACATTCCTGGGTTACATTCATTTGTTTGTAATGTATTATTTTTCATGTATCCAAAATTCATTGCTAATATTTGCTTAAAGACTTTCACATCTATATTCTTGTCCCCACCTTTGTCAAGTTTTGATAGCAGAGTACTGATGGCATTATTACAAAAAGATTTGGAAAGCTTCTTTTTGTTGTTGTTTGGAAGAGATTGTGTAGAATTGGTATTATTTCTTCTTTGATTTGGTAGAATTCACTAGTGATACTATTTTGGTGTGGACATTTCTTTAAATGAAGAGTTTTTTTTTAAGATTTATTTATTTATGCATACAGAATTGGGGTACAGGCCAGAAGTGCAGGGGCAGTGAGAGGAATCACCAGAGACAGAGTGGGGAGCAGAACAGGCCGACTGAGGAAAGACACTGCTGAGGGGAGCAGCGGGCGGGTCAGGAGAGGTCTGCCAGGCCATGTGGGTCACCTCTGCAGCCGGGATTGAACTCATGCTGAAGTGGCTTTAGCTTCTCAGTGCTGTGCTTTAACCCACTGCGCCACCAGAGAGGTCCCTAAATGAACAATTTTAATCAAAATCTGTTCTTTAAATTAGAAGCATATTTAATTTTCAGTAACTTTTGGTAGTTTGTGGTTTTCAAGATTAGTTCATCTGAGTTGTTGAATTTGTGTTGTCCATATTATGTCTTTGCTACCCTTTTAACACCTGACTCTGGTGTTTCCTCTTTCAATCTTGAGCTGATAATTTGTACTTTTTTTTTCTTTGCTTGCTTTGGTGGTTTTCTCTGTTTTCAATTTTATTGATTACTGTTATTATTTCATGTCTTTGTTTTTATTTTACTTTTGTTTCTATAGTGTCTTTATGTGGAAGTAGAGGTAATAGATTTGAGTCCTTCATTTTTAAATACAATCCATTAATGATATAAATTTACCTCTACGTACTACGTTAACTACATACCCACTTTTAGTGTTTTTATTATGTTAAAAATATTTTTAGGAGCTCTCCCTGGTGGCTCAACAGGTTAAAGCACTGTATTATGGAGCTCTCCAAAGACACTGCAGCACGAGTTCAATCCCCAGCCAGGGAGCTGACCCACATGGCGTGGCAGACCTCTCCTGACCCACCCGCTGCTCCACTCAGCAGTGTATTTCGTCAATCTGTCTGTTCTGCTCCCCATTCTATATCTGGTGAATCCTCTTACCCACCATACCTCTGCCCTATACCCCAGTTCTATAAGCATAAAAAATAAAAAATAAATAAATAAATAAATAAATATATATATATATATTAGGTTGTCTAAAGCTTCCTCTTTGACTCAGATTGCTAATTATTATTTCCTATTATCCTTGTGTTATTTTTGTTAGTTTGAATCCATTGTGGTCAGAGAACACACTTTGTAGAATTTTCATTTTTTAAAATTTGTTATGGTTTATTTAATCACCCAGGATATGGTCTATTTTAGGGGTTGGCAAACCCATGGCTCAGATTTGGCTTACCTTTTGTTTTGATAGATATAACTTTTTAAGTCAAAACCATATCCTTTTTTTCTTTTTACTAAATTTGTCAGTCAATAACATTGGAGGTGCAAGTTATATTTATTCCTCCATATGTACATGTGCGTCCTTCCATTATCTTCCACAAGACCTCCCATGGCATCATACAAGATCCACATACCTATTTTTTATGTATAGTTTTGGCTTCTATTACACCCTGATGGCAAAATTGAGCTGCTAAAACAGAATCATCTCACAAAGCTGATGATAGTTTTTCTCTGGCCGATCACACAATCAAATTGCTGATCCCTAATCGTGGAGAGTGTTCTGTGTACTTAAAAGGAATGTGTATTCTGTTGTTGTTGGGTGGAGTGTTCTAATAGATGTCAGTCAGGTCCTCTTGGTTGATGATGTTTGGTTTTTTATATCCTAACTGATTTTCTATTATTCTTTTGCAAGAGAAATGTTTTCCTTAACTTTGACTATGTCTTGTCCCTTCAGTTCTTTCAGTTTTGTCATCAAGTATTCCAAGCTCTTTTGTTACTAGGTGCATATATTTTTGGGGTTACTATGTCTTCTTGGTGAGTTAAATCTTTTATCATTGTGGAAGTGTTCCCTTATAGACCTCACAATTTTCTTTTCTATTAAGCTGCTGTGCTTGCGGTTAAGTACTCTAGCTTCCTCTGGATTATCATTTGCAGAACGTATCTTTTAGATTTCAGTTTTAAATTGCTTATGTCAATATTTGTGATAAAAAGTTAAAGACTGTAATTTTTATGTTTTGAGAAACTTTAATGGTGGTTTAGGTCATTTATATCCATGTGTTTATTATGGGATATGTACCTAAATTTTTCTCTCATTTCGCTGCTAATGTAAGCAGCCAAATCCTCCAAATTTGCTATAATTAGTAGCTTCAGAATATGTTTTTATCACATCTTTGGGATTTTCTGCATAGGTGATCATGGATCATTGTCAACTGTGAACAAAGGAAGTTTTATTTCTTTTTTCTTGATTCATAGCTTTTATATGTTTATGTATCTTCAATAGATAATGACACCACCCCCACCAAGGCACCCATACTCACTCTCCTTTTCCCCATTCATAGCCTCAGTTTGATAGTCTGTTAACTAAGGTTTGTTATTGGTTTGGTGGTGTCTGACTTTTTGTTTTCTTTCTATTTCACATATGAGTGAACCATCCAGTATTTGTCTTTCTCATTCTGACATTCACTTAGCATAATCCTTTCTAGTTCTATTCATGTTGTCACAAATGGAAAATATTCATCTTTTTTATACCTGTGTAGTATTTCACAATTCATGAGTGTATGTGTATGTATGTGTGTAACATGTCTTCCTAATACATTCATCTGTCCTTGGGCACACAGGTTGCTTCCATCATTATTGTAAATTATCCTACAGTGAACATAGATGTACATGCCCCTTCATCTTGGTGTTTTGCATTCCTTGGGTAAATTTCTAGAAGTAGAAGTAGAATTGCTAGATAATATGGTAGTTCTATATTTAATATTTTGAGTTTATAGTTTTCAAGCCATTTAGTATAAATAAGCTTACCTAGAGTTGGAGAAATGTTTGATAATTTATGCATTTCTTTGTAGTAAACAAAAATGTATATCGCATTTCTTGTCAGGCTGAAGAGTAGAAACAAACCCACAATTATAGTAAATGGATATGGCAGAATCTATAGGGAGAAAAAACTTAAGGGGTCCGTAAAGCACACATGTTTTCCCTACTGTTCCTCATCCTTGAGGAGATGTAGTTGACCAAGCGCAGGTGCATGGACACTGGGTAGTGTTATACCAGAGAAAGGTGCCAGCCAATGTACTATCTTACTTAAATGTTAGGAAAATATCTCCTTCCCATCTTTTACTACTATTTTAGCAATATTTGGAGTGTTTTAGACAAAAGAATGTTCTTCCTGCTACAAGACTTAGTGTTTAGTAGCCAGGGGTTTTCTACATACTAATGTCAAGAATCTGCTTGAGACTTTGTAACCCTTTTTGTGGAGCTCGAATATCACTGGGTTCACTAAGGAGTTAGGTTACCTTGGAAATGAAGCAACTGTGCCATTTACAGAGTATAGTTTTTTGTTTTTTTTTAAAGATTTATTTATTTATTCATATAGAACTGGGGTACAGGCCAGAAATGCAGAGGGTGAAAGGATTCACCAGAGACAGAGTGGGGAGCAGAACAGGCAGATCGACAAAGTACACTGCTGAGGGGAGCAGCGGGCGGGTCAGGAGAGGTCTGCCGCGCCATGTGGAGCTCCTTCGGGGTAGGTGGGGATGAAACTTATGCAGAAGTGACTTAAGCTTCTTAGTGCTGTGCTTTAACCCGCTGCGCCACCAGGGAGGGCCCTATCAGTATAGTTTTTAACTGTGTATTTGTTATTGCTATGTTTGAAGAAAGGATGCAATTTTAATTTTAATGACTCCAAAAGTTATAGGCTCACTTTTTTTCTCAAACTCCTCTGTTTATATTGGCAGGCCTGTTAGGTGATAGTATAGAATCCCTCAAATAAATAGCATCTCTATAAGATAGTTTAGCAACTTTGACATAGTGGGAAAATGTAAGGTCCAGGGATAAATTCCTAGAAAATTACTTAGAATCAAAAGATAGTGTTGGGACTCAAAGCAGGCTGCCCCAAAATGTGCCAAAGTGTTATATGTATTATTTTTAGTTGAAATTACTTGAGAAATAGTAGATGCAATGATGATACTTACTCTCCCTGTTCTCCCTGAATGCAAGCTTTTCCTCTGAACCTTACAAAGAGCAGGACATAAATTTTCTTTGTGACAGGCATTCTCCTACACCAGGAGGAAAGAAGACTTATCACCACAGTCAGACTTTTCAGGTCTCCAATGTATAAGCTTACACTGCCCACTGAATTAATGGCCAATCCAAAAATTTCAATACTTTGTCTACAAAGCATATAAGCTTGTTCTGCTTAGGGCCAGGTGCCGTATTCACAATGGCACCACCAACTACATGGGATTTAACCTGGTCCTTTCACCTAGTAACGTGTCTTGTGGCAACTTAATTATTAGACCAGCCAAGAAAGACCAAGAAGGTAGAAGGGAATCTTCCCCTCCCCTTCAATAATTGTAGATTTATTAGTACTTACTTGCTACTAATAATGTTACTCTAATATAACACTATATATATATACATATATACATATATAATGCTATATAAACACTAGAATTGAGACAAGAATTTTTGTATTGGCTTCTTAGCTATGTCAATGAACAGACCTAAACTACACACAAATGACTATCTTTTCCAAAATTATGTGTTTACTTTTGAATAAAAATACATTTACTTTTAAGGAAAATGTTAGTAAAATTAATATTTTCAAGTGTGATAAATATAGAAAGCGATGTCTATTTTACTTTTGTCCTTTTTCATTTCTTTTTTCCAGAGGTATTGGAGAAGCTATTCCACCAGAAAAAAATTTCTGAAATTGAGATATTATTCAGTTGTCCTGCAATCTAGGATAAGAATGATAATTGCCTCTAATTCTTATAAACGATACCTTTGGGCTACTGTTACAATTCAGAGGTATTGGCGTGCTTGTTTAAGAAGAAACCATGATCAACAGAGATATAAAATGATCAAGTCATCATCCCTTATCATCCAGTCTATGTTCAGAAGATGGAAGTGGCATAAAATGCACTTACAAATTAAAGCTGCAATAATATTGCAAAGAGCTTTTAGAAAATGGCATACCAGAAAAAGAGCTAAAGAAGAAAAATCTGCAGTTGTCATACAGTCATGGTATAGAATGCACAAAGAATTGCAGAGATACATTCATATTAGATCTTGTGTTGTTACCATTCAGACAAGATTCCGGTGCTTGCAAGCCCAAAAGTTATATAAAAAGAAAAAAGAGGCTATTCGGACTATTCAAAAGTACTACAAAGCATATCTAGAAGGAAAGACTGAACGCACAAAATATTTGCAGAAACGGGCTGCAGTCATCCAACTACAGGGTGCTTTCAGGAGAATGAAAGCACAGAAGTTGCACAGGCAAATTACAGCTGCTTGTATTCTTCAGTCATATTGGAGAATGAAGCGAGACAGATTTCAATTTCTAAACCTTAGGAAAATAGTCATCAAATTGCAGGCACACATAAGAAAACACCAACAACTACAGAAATACAAGAAGATGAGGAAAGCTGCCTTGGTAATTCAGATTCATTTCCGAGCTTATGTTTTAGCCAAAAATGTTCAAACATCTTACCAGAAAATACGTTCTGCTGTCATTGTTCTGCAGAGTGCATATCGAGGGATGCTAGCCAGGAACAAGTTTAACTGCACTCTCACTTCTATTATAAAGATTCAATCATATTATCGAACTTACATAGCCAAAAAAAAGTTTCTGCATTTAAAAAATGCTACAATAAAGTTACAATCAATTGTCAAGATGAGAGGAACTCGTGAAAGGTACTTACGTTTAAGAGCAGCTGCTCTGGTCATCCAGCGCTGGTATCGTTCAGTAAAATTGGCAGCACTAAAGAGAAAAGAGTACATGGTGGTGCAGGAATCTTGTATTAAACTGCAAGCTTGTGTTAGAGGCTACCTGGTTCGAAAGCAGATGAGATTGCAAAGAAAGGCTGCTATTTCACTACAGTCTTATTTCAGAATGAGAAAGTTACGTAGATCCTACTTGCAAGTTTATAAAGCAGCTATAGTCATTCAGAGTTATTATCATGCATACAAAGCACAGGTGAATGAGAGGAAGAACTTCTTGCAAATCAAAGGAGCAGTCACTTGCTTGCAAGCAGCTTACAGAGGCTATAGAGTGCGCCAGCTAATCAAACATCAATCTGTTGCGGCTCTCAAAATTCAAACTGCTTTCAGAGGCTATAGTAAAAGGATGAAGTATCAATCTGTGCTTCAGTCTACTGTCAAAATTCAGAGACGGTATAGAGCATATAGGACTGTTTATGAAATAAAAGCACATTTTCTAAAGACAAAAAAGGCTGTGATTTCTCTTCAGTCTGCTTATCGTGGTTGGAAAGTTCGCAAGGAGATCAAAAAGGAACATGAAGCTGCAATGAAGATTCAGTCTACTTTTAGAATGGTCCAAGCCCAGAAGCAGTTTAGACTGATAAAAGCTGCAGCATTAGTCATCCAGCAACATCTGAGAGCATGGGCTGTAGGAAAGAAACAACGTATAGAGTATGTTGAACTCCGTCAGGCAGCACTGATAATTCAGTCTACCTGGAAGGGGAAAACAACAAGGAGACATGTTCAAAAGCAACAAAAATATGCTATTATCATACAGTCCTACTATAGAATGCACTTGCAGCGAAGGAAGTGGGAAACCATGAGAAATGCTGCTCATCTCATTCAAATGTATTACAGAGCTTACAGCATTGGAAGGAAACAGCATCATTTGTATTTGAAAACCAAAGCAGCTATAGTAGTTTTACAGTCAGCTTACCGAAGTATGAGAGTGAGAAAAAAAATTAAGGAGTGGAACAAAGCAGCAATCACTATACAGTCTAAATATAGAACTTACAAAAGCCAAAGGCAATTTGCAACCTATAGAGCTTCAGCTATTACCATTCAGAGATGGTTTCGAGGTATTAAAATTACAAAGCATTGTCACAAGGGATACCTTGATTTAAAATGGGCAGCAATTAAAATCCAAGCTACTTATAGAGGAAGTAGAGTAAGAAGACATATTCAGTGCATGCACATGGCAGCCACTATTATTCAAGCCACTTTTAGAATGCATCAGTCAAAAGTAAGATACCATAAAATGAAGACAGCAGCTGTCGTGATTCAGATAAGATATAGAGCCTGTTGTCGAGGTAAAACACTGCGTGAAAAGTTCTTGACAATTTTGAAAGCTGTTATTACTATTCAGGCAAGTTTTAGAGGAATGAGAGTTAGACAGACTGTAAGAAAGATGCAGGTGGCTTCAACACTCCTTCAGTCCTACTACAGAAGATATAGACAACAGACATACTTTATTAAGTTAAAGAGGGTGACAAAAACAGTGCAGCAGAGATACCGGGCACTCAAGGAAAGAAACAAACAATTTCAAAGGTATAGCAAATTAAGGCATTCTGTCATATGCCTTCAGGCTGCTTTTCGGGGGATGAAAGCCAGAAAAGATTTAAAAGTTAGGCATTTAGCTGCAACCCTTATTCAGAGAAAATTTAGAACTATTCTGACTAGAAGAAGATTCCTGTCCCTCAGGAAAACTGCCATTTGGGTTCAGAGAAAATACCGTGCAACTGCTTGTGCAAAGCATCACTCTGAACAATTCCTACAATTACGTAAGGCAGTCATTCAAATCCAGTCTGCATACAAAGGATGGATGGTAAGAAAAATGATGCAAGAGATGCACAGGGCAGCTGCCATCCTCCAGGCAGCCTACCGGATGTACATAGCACGTGCAAGGTACCAATCCTTGAAACATGCTTCACTTGTAATCCAGCGGCAGTACCGGGCAAAGAGGGCTGCAAAACTGCAGAGGCAATGTTACCTCCAACAAAGACATTCTGTTCTGACTCTCCAGGCTGCTTTTAGGGGCATGAAGACTAGGAGACATCTGAGAAGTATGCATTCCTCTGCAACCCTTATTCAGAGCAAGTTTAGATCTTCAATGATGAGAAAACGATTCATTTCCCTTAAAAATGCTGTTATTTTTGTTCAGAGGAAATATCGAGCCACCATTTGTGCTAAGAGTCACTTGCACCAATTTTTGCAGTTGAAAAAGGCAGTCATCACAATCCAGTCATCATGCCGGAGGCTGAGAGTACAGAGGAAGGTAAAGGAGATGCACAGGGCTGCAGCTGTCATCCAGGCTACTTTCAGAATGCACAGAGCATACATTACATTTCAGACTTGGAAACATGCCTCAGTTCTCATTCAGCAACATTACCGAGGACACAGAGCTGTAAAGCTGCAAAGAGAAAATTTTATCAGGCAAAGGCAGTCTGCTGTGGTCATTCAAGCTGCATATAAAGGAATGAAAGTGAGACAGCTTATGAGGAAAAAGAAGAAAGCGGCTGTCATAATACAAAGCACATATAGAATGTATAGGCAGTATTATTTCTACCAAAAGGTTAGGTGGGCTGCAAAAGTAATACAGAAAGTATATAGAGCAAATAAAAAACAGAAAGCTCTTCAACACCATGCACTCACAAAAGCAGCAGCCTGTATCCTGGACATGATTTTAAGGCAACAGATTCAGGAGCAACATCAGGCTGCCCTTGTTGTTCAGAAATATTTTAAAGCCTCAAAAATAAGGAAAAACTATCTCCACTTAAGAAAAACAGTTATCTTTGTTCAAAGAAGATTCAGAGCACTAACTGCAATGCGTATCCAAGCAGTTATTTGTATCCAGTCTTCTTACAGAGGCTTTAGGGTCCGAAGGGATCTTCAGCACATGCATCTGGCTGCCACACGAATTCAGTCATTTTACCTCATGCACAGGGCAAATGCTGATTATCAAGCAAAGAAAGCTGCAGCTGTTGTTATACAGAATTTTTATAGGTCATATGTCAGAGTGAAATTGGAAAGAAAAAAGGTTTTTGCAGTTCAGAATCCCCTACAGAGTATTCAGGTTGCTTCTAGAGGCAGGAAATTTAGATCAGAGTTGAAAAACGTATCTAAGGGAAAGTTGGCAGTCTCTGTTCCCCAACCCACTGTCAGCTGTCACAGAACTGAAACCCAATATGAGGCTATTCAGAGCTCAGCAGCTGGGACTCACAATTGTTATAACACCTCTATAGGTGCTTGGTCACAGGAAGCAGAGTTTGATTTGCCAAGAAAGACTGTGGTAACAATTCAAAAAGCTTTTTGTAAAACAGTCACAAGAAAACTGGAAACAGAAAAGCATGCTGCCCTACAAATTCAGTCCTTCCTTCAGATGGCTGTGTGTCGTCGACGATTTGTTCAGCAGAAAAGAGCTGCCCTCACTTTACAGCAGTATTTCAGAACATGGCAAACCAGAAAATGGTTTCTTGCCTACAGAAAAGCAGCAAAGATCTTACAAAACCACCACAGAGCCTTTCTGGCTACAAAACATCAAAGAGAAGTTTATTTACAGATTAGGAAAAGCATAATCATTACTCAAGCTGTAATGAAAGGATTTATACAGAGGCGGAAGTTTCAAAAAATTAAAGATAGCACCATTAAAATCCAGGTATGTATATATTTAAATGTGAAACCTTTTTTCTTTGACCAGGATTTGTTAGAATGCATAAAATGAGCCTAAGCTAGTCATAAAGAATAATACTTTGAGTTTACATTACTAATTTACAGTCCAGATTGTCTAGCGTGTGAAAAGAGAATGCATTATAAATAATTCAATCAGCACAACAAACATATGTTTGATTTATTTCAATAGGTGTTAGTAATAGCACTCTTAGAAAAATTGGGAGGACATAGGTTGATTAATGGGTTTCTCTAGTGAGTAAAGTTTTTTTTACATGGAATACTTACACTAAGGCAAATTGTTACTTGGCATTAGATAGGGCAACTAAGATAACTATAATCTTCTCCTAAATTGTTAATCAGAACTAATTAATCTAGATAGGTGTACTTTATTCAGTTTCCAAAGCACTTTTATATTACTGTTTCTTTTGTTCTCTAAATGTGTGAGGAATACAGAGTATTTCTCTTCTGAAATATAAATTAATTGAGAAAGTTTTAAAATTTTGCTAATGTTGCACAGAGTGAAGAAAATCCAGGAATTAGTTCTTCATACTTCTGCTATTTCTATTCTAACTGTAATAATCTGAACTTTGAACCTACTTGTAGAAAGTTGGTATCTTGCTATGTTGTGGGTAAGCTTACAAATAGGGCTTTATTGCAACAAATATTCAGAGGTGGTAGAGTGTCAATTACTACAAGAAGTGATAGGATTGGTAAAATATGCCTAGTTACCATCCTTGAAAAAGTTAAATTGGCAGTGAATAATATGAAATGAGAAGTATTTCTTGCTGGAACATGGAGAAGGGAAAGGATAGTCTCAGCCCTCCAAGGAGTCTTTCCAGAGCAAGTAGCAATTAAGTAGAGAAAATAAGTGAAAGGATGAATCGGAAATAGCCAAGTATCAAAATGTATCAAAGTAATCTTCCCATTGTACTTTAGTGGGGCCATTTTGCATATTTAGTTTCCAAAGCACTTTTGTATTTTTTTATTTAAACAGAGCTCAAAACTGGAAGAGAAAGAGGGCAATTGTATCAAGTAATTAAAAAGTGACATAAGCCCAGCTGGTAGTATAGGGAATGAGATTTTTGGATAGACTTTTAACACATAAAATTTAGTCTTTATCCTCTGGATTCTAAAAGAAGTTCTAGAGGTATTTTACCAGGAAAAGACCAGAATCATAAAAAATATATAATCTGGGGCCCTCCCTGGTGGCGCAGCGGGTTAAAGCACTGCACTGAGAAGCTTAAACCACTTCCGCATGAGTTCAATTCCCGCCTGCCCCTGAGGTGACCACATGGCGAGGCAGACCTCTCCTGGCCCGCCCGCTGCTCCCCTCAGCAGTGTACTTCGTCGATCTGCCTGTTCTGCTCCCTGCTCTGTCTCTGGTGAATCCTCTCACCCTCCGCATCTCTGGCCTGTACCCCAGTTCTGTATGAATAAATAAATAAATCTTTAAATATATATATATATATATATAATCTGGCTAAAATGTGGAAGGTGAACAAGAAAGGGGAGTAAGACTATAAGCAAGGAGACAAATTAGGAAGCAGTGGCAGTAAGTAAGGATGGTGAGGATTGATATGAGCACATTAGCAAGGAACGAAACCATGTTTCTGGTTTAAATAACCTGCACATGGGTTCTCTGACATAGGGGAAAAATTGCAAGAACAGGTTTGGAGATGGATGATGACTTCATGTCTGGGTACAGAAGGTTGAAGTACCCAGCATATGCCCAGTTGAGGTTCCTACTGAGGCACTTGACTATGTTTGTCTGGACTTTGGAAAGTGCGTGGATTGTAGAATTCTAAGTATTGGTGTACTATGATAAATGAATGCAGGTGTCAAGATCACTGCATTAGAATGTATAAATATATAGTAATGAAAGCCTGGGACTTGTACCCTGAAAAACAACATTAAAGGTAATGAAAGGAGAAGCTAACACATGATATTAAAAGTGAACAAAGAAAACTAAGAGTTGTGGGTGGAAGTAGTTCCAAATGCTAAGAATTAAAGGCTGAAAGGTTAATTGGATGTATGATTAGGATAGAATAGCCAAAGTAGAGACATTTTGTGGGGGTGGAGTGGGGAATGGGATCAAAAACAGGGGGAGTGGGGAGGGAAGTGCACGGAACTATGGTGATGGCGCACGGGTGACTCTGTGATGGGATTACAATTGAGATGAAAAAATAAATGTACAAAATGATGTAAAAATAAACTATTATATTATTAAAAAAAAAGAATAGCCAAAATAGCAGTCTCATGAAAATTCAACTGTTTTCTTTTATAGAATTAATTTATATTTTATACAAATAATATCTAACATATACTAGTGGTCTCAAATGCCCATTGAAATCACTTTGAATCTTTAAAAGTACAGACACTGGCACCCACTGTGAATACCAATGTTGTTATTCAGGCTAGTTTATGTAAAAAAGCAAATATAATATACTCTGAGTAAGTTAAAGACATCACATATATGTAATTCTTCCTGCTAACCACATGTAGACCTTGACCCATATAGAAAGAGTAGCTGCAGTATTTGTTTTTAGTGATTTGGAGCCACACTGACTTGAGTTCATATATTGACTGTTGCTTACTGGCTATGTGGTAACCATCTCCTGTTTCTCAATATCAGTATCTGTTTTGTCAAATAAGAGCTTAATAATCTCATTTCTGCTAATTAAATAAGATACCTCTGCCACTTGCTGCCTGTGACCTAAAATCACTTTTAAACCTTGACTCCCCATTCCCTGAATTAGAGATATCATTACCCATCTATATTTTTGCATCTAATAACTTACTTTTAGTCAGTTACAGGTTGTCCAAATTGGAAAATCTGATCATTCCTATGATAGATAGTTGCTCTCAGGTTTCCCCTGCCAGTTAAACACAAACCACAAGAGTATGTGAGGGAGGCAGAGGGGACCCAGGGGAGGTGGTAGCAAGGATTTCATTCCTTCCTAGGAAGCTGAATAATTATGTGCGGGTGTTCTTTCCGTTCTTCCAAATGGATTGAGATAGTGATGACAGTGCTCATATCTGACTTTCCATTTATATATATATATCTGACTTTTCCATTTTAAAATATTTGTATGGTTATAAAGCTTAGGTGGCAGCCAATCACAAGGGTCTGTGTGATAAAGCACATAGTAGGCATTCACTGTGTAGCAACACTGTTCTCAGAGGGCTCATTATATGTAAGGGATAAATAATTCTAAGAGTCATGAAATTACTATTTTTATTATTGATTTTTTGTTTAACATTCTGTCTTTAACAACAATTCTTCCACTCAAAAGTAAACATCTCATTGCATATTTTATTTATTTATTTTTTTAATGTTTTTAATAGGCTGCTTGGAGGAAATACAAAGCCAGGAAGTATTTATGTAAAGTGAAAGCTGCCTGTCAGATTCAAGCCTGGTATAGATGTTGGAAAGCACGTAAAGAATATCTAGCTGTTTTAAAAGCTGTTAAGGTCTTTCAACGTTGTTTCTATACCAAACAGAAGAGAGCATGGTAATGCATTATAACTGGGAGAAAATGAGGGTGTGTTGTGGTAGTAAAGTCCATATATAAAATAGTAATGCCATTGTTTGTTTGGTTTTTTTTTAATTTACCATGCTTAATTTGTATGGCTTGTTTTATGGGTTCTTTCTCTGTTATTTTTTTAAATAGAGCCTTGATGACATAATAAGTCAAAATATTTACTTAAAGTTGATTAATTCTAGTTCTTAAGGATTAAGATACAGATGGAAGGTGAAAAATAATATACTCTCATAGATTTTATTTCCCCCATATTCTTCATCTTTAATGATGAAGACCTAACTACTAGCTTATGTTAATTGCAATTTCCTATTCCTAGTTCATTTATTTTACATGCATTTTTTTGAAGCTGTTATCAGATTGGCTATGTTATTTGCTTTTTTTTTTTGCTATTTCATAAGATTTTTGTTTTTCTTCAGATCTGACTCCCCAGAATTGAGTAGTTATTATATTAGTGATGACTTCAAGATGTTTTTTAGGGGAACACTCTAACATTAGAAGAATTCCTCAATTTCATGGATAGAATCAAAACTTGCAAAGATATACTTGCTACTATTAACTATTAAGGACTAGTATCTAATTTTTCTGCACCAAAATGCTAAATTGTTCTCATTAACAATTATTATTTGCTAAGAAATTTTGCAAAAAATTCTACCATTTTCATATAACTAAGATCAAAGAGCCTGTCCATTCTCAATTTTTATCTATTATTACTATGTTAACATTTCAAGTTTAATCTCTAGCCCTCACATTTTTAAGTTTTACCAATTTTGTTTCTAAAATACTTATTTTTAGGTGATTTAATAATGCCTATCTTTCCTTTCACATAAATATCTATTTCTCTTTTGCTTGATGTTGCTCATAATTTTCCAATTTCTCTTCTTGACCACCCCCTGTATGTCTGTTCCAAGATGCAGATTTTATACTTTCCCATTATTTCTACAACCATCTCCCTTATCACATCTTTCTCTGGATCTGAACAATCATAGTTTATTTTCATCCTGTTCTGAATTCTTTTCACTCTAGAACCTCATTTTTTTCTTACCAGCTGGAATATTGCCAACTGCAAAACTTCTTTTTCATATGTCAGTTTGTGTGCATGTGTGAGTGTACTCTTGTGCGAGCATAAAATTCTGATAAATAGAATTTAGATATAAATGATACTTTTCCATTTCTTTTTATTTTCTCATTGCCTTGTTTTCTTTATCCTCTAGCATTTAAAGAGGGCTGGGGTAGTGGCAATAAATATTTACCAAATAGATTAATTTGAAATTACTGTCCAATAACACCTTTTTAGGTTTTTGAAGTTGCGATCATCAACAATTGTCATTCAGAGAAAATGGAGAGCTACACTTTCGACAAGAAGAGCTTGTGAGCACTTCTTAATGATAAAAGTAGGTATAAGATAACTTTTTTTTTCAAAGAACTGCTTGAAGAAACAGAAAACAGAAAGAATGTTTAAATGATTTAATGATACATTTAACATAAACATTTGTATTCACTTAAAAATTATATTCACTCATAGAAAAACTTCTGAGCATATTTTGTGTATAATTCTGTAAACTTCTCAAGTGCAAAAATGTGAAGTAACTTTTAGAATAATTTCTCTTGGAAGAAATAATAGATGTAGCATACGGTGTCCAGTATGAGTCAAACACTGAAGTTATTTAAGCCACAATCAGCGTTTTAGTAAATAAATAAAAATATTGTTTATTTCTATGTTTAATATTTACTGTGATATTACAGCCACTGTTATTACACCTGCTATTATAAATTTATGGATTGACTTTATGAATTTATGGTTATCTTCACAATAACCCTATGAGATACCTATTATTAGATTACCCATTGTATAGATGAGAACATTCAGGTATAGAGAGAAAGTGACTTTCCCAAGTTCAGTCAGATACTAGGTCAGAAAAATGTAAAACAAACCTAGTTCCCATTTCGGTCTATATATTTTTTTCTAATGTGTGTTGTTATTGGTTGTCAGGATGATATATGATGGATGGAAGGTATACTGTCAATACACAATGGTTCTTGAAATACAAACAGCTTCTTTTGTAGCTATTTATAGCATCCACCCTGTGCTCCACAGTTGTGGCCTGCATTTTTATTAAGTATATGCATTTGGTAGTCATGTTTGGCCTTACCTCCTCACAGTGGAAACTGTCAAGAGGATGAGACAAAAGAGCCCCAGATACTTATTGACCCTGACTTTCATCTTCATAAAAATTTTCTTTTCAGCTGAAGATCTAGATGGTTTAGATGGTTTTATCAATTGAGAACCAAGACCTTTTCTTGTCTACAAAATAAAAATGCTTAAAATTAAAATTGTAAAAAAGTAAGTTAGTTATACCATCCTATTTTCATCAAGAACTTGCAGTTAAAATTTTTCACTTCCTTCTTGTTTTGACTGTCAATATATACTTTTAAATTTTTTAATTATTTTTTAAATGACTTTTGTTACTTGGAAATTTTTCCTTACAACAGCGACATCAAGCTGCCTCTTTGATCCAAGCATATTTTAGAGCATATAAAGCACGGCAGGTCTTTCTTCAGGAGAAGGCTGCTGCTGTGGCCATACAAAGATTTATACGAACCAGGGAAGCTGGAAAGCGTGAAAGGATAAAATATGTTAAATTGAAAAGATGTACAGTTGTTCTGCAAGCACTGGTGCGTGGTTGGTTAGTAAGAAAAAGGGTAAGTATTTTTAAGTAAAGTTCTCAGTCTTTATGAGCATTTTGATGTTAAATTGTGTTTAAGACATTTTGGTATTTAGGGAATAATTTCAGAACAAATACATTGCTTAGATTGACTCAGCTTCTACAGAGTGTTAAAGCAATTTCATTTGTTGCCATACAGAGTTTGTTCTACAAAACTATTTCCCACAGATGTTCCCCATCAAAAATGCAAAACAATACTTTGTACTAGACCAAGAAGAAATCGTAGAAATCTTAAAAGAGACCTGAAAGAAGTATCAGGGGAGGGCTCAATATTAATTGCTATTAAAGTAGCCTTTTGTTATCTTCAGGGGACTATTTGAGTGTTGTAACTCTCATTCCTATGTTAACTTCCACATCTTTAGCAAGGGAGCTTGTGAAGTTTGGGCATCCAATATATGAAGTTCTGACAAAAACAAAATAATTAAATTCATAATTTGAAAGTAAAATTCTTTGGTATTTTGTTCATTAAATTAAAGGGCAAAAATGGGCCCTCCCTGGTGGCGCAGCGGGTTAAAGCACTGCACTAAGAAGCTAAAGCCACTTCCGTATGAGTTCGAGCCCCGCCTGCCCCGGTGGTGACCACATGGCGCGGCAGACCTCTCCTGACCCGCCCGCTGCTCCCCTCAGCAGTGTACTTCATGGATCTGCCTCTTCTGCTCCCCGCTCTGTCTCTGGTGAATCCTCTCATCCTCCACATCTCTGGCCTGTACCCCAGTTCTGTATAAATAAATAAATCTTTAAAAAAAAAATTAAAGGGCAAATCTAAAGGTAAAAGGCCTCTGATCAAAGCTTATGCTACAAGAATTTAGTGCTGGATTTTTGCCAAGCTGTCTCATACTTGAGGAAAACAATTCATATACTTCTCTCATAATTAGTATATCACAAAGCAGTTATTGGGTAGTTTAGTCAAGTTTAAAACTGTATTTCTTGAGTGAAACTGTCAAAATATAAATTTGTTTTCTATACACTGAATTATAGATTATACTATTGGATACATTGTGTAGTTTAATCAATTTGAGTTACACTGTAAGTAATTTTAATAATTTAATCTGTTATTGATGGTTTATACGGTTTGATATTCAGGCCATACAAAAATAAACATTGATTATCTTAGGATCTGATCATTAATATTTTTATTCTCTTCTAGATTTCAGAAGAGAGAGCCAAAATCAGACTTCTTCATTTCACAGCAGCTGCATTTTATCACCTGTCTGCTCTTAAAATTCAGAGAGCATATAAACTTCACCTGGCTATAAAGAATGCTAATAAACAGATTAATTCAGTCATCTGTATTCAGGTTAGGTTTTATATGATTTTTCTACGATGTTTATGTTTTAATGAATAACTTCCAAATAACTCATGTTAAGGTCACTTAGTATTTAGCCTTTTGCCATATTGTTTTTAGGATGATTTGATGGCTTAGAAACAGGTTGATATTTTATAAAAGGTTCATGTAACTCTGAATTATTAAATAAATTACTAAATAAAGTTCTGAATTATTCTATTAAGTACTTTACACAGCTATTAGCAAAGTCTAAGGATACAATAATTATACTTGCCAGCACATGATATTGGAAGACTTTTTGATTTTTGCCAGCTAGTGAATAGAAATTATATATCTCATTTTGGCTTTGGATTCCTGAATTGGTAACAAATCTAATAAATTTTTCATATATATCAGTTAAATTCTCTCTTTATATTAGTTTACTTTTTTACCCTTTGCCCATTTTACTTTGCATATTCTCTTTCCTGTGACTTAATAGGAAATTTTTATCTTCTTGACAAGAATCCTGCTTATGTGTTAACATATACTTACATATAAGTCAAAGTAAAAATACTGCAAAATGATATTTGAAAGGATTTATGTATACTATAAAATGAAGGCAATGTTAAATTCACACACACACACACACACACACACACACACACACACATAGCTAGCATGGATAGGAAGATTTGTACCTAGTAAAGTAGAGAAGTAATGCCAATGAGGACGATTGAAAGATATTTCTCTGTAACATTCTATTTCATTTGTGCATGTCTCTGTATTTGTGTGTATGTGTGTGTGTGTGTAAGAATATATTTTGTTAAATCCTGAAGAAAAATATCTTACTATTTTAATCTTAATATGTTTTAAACAGAGATGGTTTCGAGCAAAATTAGAGAGAAAGAAGTTTATTCAGAGATATCATAACATCATAAAAATTCAGCATGAGGTTCAAGAACGCCTGAAGCAGCAAAATTGGGCAGCATCAGTTATACAAAATAGAATACGCCATTTTCTCCTCCGTAAAAAACAAGACAAATTTAATAATGGAATCACTAAAATTCAGGTAACTACAAACTATTAATTTAGGTCAAGATTTGGTTTGCAATTTTTTTGCATAATAAGTAATATTATAAAGACACATCACAACTTTTTAAAAAGCTAACATAATTAGCCAAAAAAGAAGCAATAATAAATGTATGCTACCATAATTTAATTGCAAGATGCTTTATTTTCAAATTCCCAAAGGAAATGGAAAAGCATTTTAACATTTGAATAGATTTATATGTCATGGGCCAATGAATGATGTCTCAGTTTACCTATCAGGATGTTAGATGAAGTTCATTTTCACAAAAATTTGTTTATTAGGACCTGACCTGAGTTGACACCACAAAGTTTCTGATCACACCCTATAAATCTATTGAAAATATTTACCTTGTGTAGATATATTTAAGTTCAAAGTATCATGGGTTGTAATCTTAAAACTACTGTGTTTTATCTGCTTAAGGCATTTTGGAGAGGATATTCTTGGAGGAAGAAAAATGACTGTACAAAAATTAAAGCTATACGACTAAGTCTTCAGATTGTTAATAGAGAGATTCGAGAAGAAAACAAGCTCTACAGAAGAACTGCACTTGCACTTCATTATCTTTTGACATATAAGCATATTTCTGCAATACTCGAGGCTTTAAAACACCTAGGTTAGTGAATTTTAACAATATCTTAGATTAGAAATGCCTTTTTACCTTTGTGCAAATAATAATATTATGATAGTACAACATTAGCTAAAACTTCATTTTGTTGCTCTAAAATGACCTTGGTGTTACGTTTTTGTTTTTTTTTTTTCATCCCCTTTCAGAGGTAGTTACTAGATTGTCTCCACTTTGTTGTGAGAATATGGCCCAGAGTGGAGCAATTACTAAAATATTTGTTTTGATCCGAAGTTGTAATCGGAGTGTTCCTTGCATGGAAGTCATCAGATATGCTGTACAAGTATTGCTTAATGTTGCTAAGGTAATTTTCCATTTTAATAATGAGATGCTCATTAGTTCTTTAGTTAAGAACTGTGACCCAGAAGGTTAAGTTTTTAATTGCTCCAAGTCAAATCCTCTTTTTGCTAAGAGTCTTACAGGGGAAATGTTTAATTGGCATAATTGTAGCTAATTTTTTTATATTACGATTTTATTTCTTCTGCCTTTATAATGTTAATAACAGTGGCACCTCCCACTTATTATTTGTTTACAATGGGCTAGTGTTTTTCATATATCATTTAATTTAACCTTTACAGTATTCTTTCTTTTAATGTGATTTTGATTATTGATTCCATTTTATACAGAAGGAGTAAAAAGTACTACAGAAATTACATTCTTTATCTAATAACTTGAATGATAGAGTTTAATTAGAATCCATTTCTGTCTACTTCTAGAGATGGTGCTCTTATCCACTATATTATATTAAAACAATAACGCATCTTATAATTTTATCTAGCACAGATATTATTTGCTATAACTTACCCTATAATAATCTATATATTAGAATTAAGTCTTTTGGCTTTGGACTACTAACAGGTACTCATGCCAAATTATAATGCATGCAATCAAAGGTATTGAGAGAGCAGAAGTAGATTTCTCTCCCTCGAACCACCACTCAAATCTCAGTTTAGCATTTTATCAAGCATTTTCGTATTGAGAGGTGGTGGTTAGAACACAGACACTGATGCAAAACTTCTGGGTTTGAATTCTAGCTCTGCAGCTTATATGGGTTATCTAGCCTGTCTGTTTTACCTTCTTCAATTGTAAAATGAATGCAGTACCCACCTCATAATGTTATTGTTAGAATTAAGTGGGACAGTATACATAAAATGCTTGATACTTAGAAGTGCCAGATTCAGTGTTAACTATTTATATTGCTTTGTTTTATCATAGAGTTATTATAATTGTTACCAAGCAAATTGTAATAATAATTCAATCTAAAAATTAACCTAAGACACATTGAGATTACTGAGGCAAGAAAATATAGCCTAGGTTTTTTAATAAATCATTTATTTTTGTTTTATTTTCAAGCAAAACTACCTTTTCTCAAGAAGCATGTGACTGTAACTGCTAGATAACTAGTTAGATCTTACTTTAATCATCTTCACCCTATGATTATTCACAAATAATTAGCTTTTTTTTTTTATGGTCTCACTAGTCTCTAAGTATATTTTTATATGCTTTTTGATATTCATTTTCAAAGATTTTATATTTGATTTTTTGTGTGTATACAAAAAACCTATTCAGAAATAGGTTGAAAATAAAATAAAATACAGACATACATATGAGATAAATCCAGAAATGACGTCCAACAGTCCTTTTATGATGTCTTTTGCACTTGTTACACATGGTCCAAAATTTGACTGAGCACTCTTTTGGGATGGAGTATTCATATGAGTGTGTTTAACTTTTGGTTTCATTATGATCTCTTCAAGTATGAAAAAACTACTTCAGCAGTTTATGATGTAGAAAACTGTATCGATACACTGTTGGAGCTTTTGCAGAGATACCGAGAAAAGCCGGGTGACAAAGTTGCAGACAAAGGGGGAAGTATTTTCACAAAAACTTGTTGTCTGTTAGCTGTTTTACTGAAGACAACAAATCGAGCCTCTGTAAGTATTAATCAGGTTACTTTTTCAAGGTTGTTATCCTAGGTCTTAGTTCTTAGATTTTTATACTTTGCCTTCAGTATCTATCACAACTAAAATAGGGTTTTTTACATGTTCACACCTAATTTGTGTACTGATAATATGAGTTGTTTCTCAAGTATCAAGGGAATGGAATGCCAAAAGTAGAATTTATTTTAACCAATTTGCATTTACTTAGGAATAACAAGTTATCCTAACAAAGTAGTAAATGGATCATGTGTGACTCCTCATCCTTGTATGGGAACCATAAAAACATTTTGAAGGTTTTCATGATGAGACCTTTGAAGTATTCTCCCTAGCAACTGGTGTTGCTCCCAGTGTTAAGGATGACATAGGTCATAAAGGGATTGTAGTATTTACCCCAACTACAATGAAAGTCCTGGAAGGATTTTAAGAAAAAAAAAAAAAAAAAAAAAAAAAATATATATATATATATATATATATATGTTCAGTTAAATTTGATCATCACTTGTTGCTGATTGGAGAATAGATTTGGGAGAGCACATGCAGGTGTAGGAAGAGTAATAAAAGAGGCATATGATCTAGGCAAGAGACTGTGCTTGACTTAGGATTGTGTCAGTGAGAATAAGATAAGTGGACAACTTTGCAATTTTGAAGAGGAAAATTCACAAGGTTTGGTAACAGGATGTAACAGGTATATTGACTATAATAATACTCGTCTATTTTCAGTATCAATTAAATGTACATTCTTTAAATATTTGCCTTCTTTATAATTGTCTCACGAATTAGTCTATAATTTCAGCCAGTCTACTGCTGAGCTAGGAAAGCTTGGTTTTATATTATTAAAAAGGTCATAAATGCATAGTGTTTCCTTATTATGATTGATTTTGCTAGCATATAAGATTAAAGAATGTAGTTATTCTTAGTTTTAATAAATGTGAATTTTCTTTTTTAGGATGTTCGAAGTAGGTCCAAAGTTGTTGACTGTATTTGTAGTCTCTACAAACTTACAGCCCGTAAACATAAAATGAACACTGAAAGAATAATTAATAAACAAAAGAATTCTTTAATGAACATTCCCATTATTCCAGAAACACCTGTAAGAACCCGGATAGTTTCAAGGTAAGCAGTAAATGTCCTCTATCATTTTGTGTCAGTACTCATCCATCATCCATTCATGTAATAAACATTTATTGAGTTTGTACAGTACTATTAGGAGGTGATTATGCTTTAATAGGGAGAAGCAAAATATGAATAAGAATCGATTCTTTGGTAAATCTGAGACATCATCTCAGAGAGGTAGAAAACTCTGGTAGCTTTCATTAAATTATATAAATTGGAACTATAATTTCATAATTACAGTACTAGTTTGTTATTCATGAATTCAGCTATAGTTCAAAATTTGTGATATTGGAAATTCAACTATGATTTTACATTTTGCTCAGGCAATAAGATTTTACTGAATTTTCTGATTTTTTCCTTTTTAACAAAGATATTTAACTGATTTTGATGAACTGAATTAGTTTGCAGTATTTTATTTTCTTCCTTCATTTCTCCATATTCCATCCTTTCTGTTATTCAGCAATTCTGTCTACTAGGTATAAATCTTTCAGTGTTAACAAGGCACTGGTTTTTTTTTTAACTTGGATTATTTCCCAGTTCCCATTGTAATTACTCATAGTCTTATTAAACTGTATATTAATTGTGAGTTGGTCTATGCATGCATGTTTTACAATATAACAAAATAATATACCATCACCACTAGATATTTCTGTCGTACCAAAGTTCCCCTGTACCCATTTGGATTTAAATTCTCTCCCTTTCTACATTGTCACATAAATGGAATCATATAGTAAGGACCTTTTTATGACTAGATTCTTTTCTTTAGCCTAATGTTTGAGGTTTCTACATGTGAATGCATGTGTTAGAATTTCATTTTCTTTAATCACAGAGTACTATTCCATTGTGTAAAGATATACCACACTTTGAACACTCACCAATTAATGGATATTTAGATTTTTAATGTGAAAAAATAAGAACGTAAAGAGTAGGGCTCTAGCTGAAAAAGATGTATGAATTCCCCTTTGATTGATACTATTTCCTCAATGAAGTATTGGATTATAGATTCATTAGCTCAGAGTCAGATCAGATAAGGCAGGGCGTAGGAAACATTTGAAAAAGAGAATGGAAGACATACCAGGTAATTTAAAGTACTCATTTAGATTTGCAATTATTGGCATAAAATAAATCAGCCTGATTGTTTAATTTTGTTTCACATAGGAGTGATAAAAGAAAATCACTTGATTTAAATTGTAATCCAAATAGAATTTTCCAGATGAATTCAATAAAAAATAGCTTTAATGGGATTTGCAAAAGGAATTGTATTGATGAACCTAAACTAAACTAGGAGGGAATTGAGAATAACATTTTGAATGGGATTATATGTTAAGATCAAATGGATTAGAGATGCCATTGGTGCCAAAAAATTGGTGCAGTGGTTATATTAAGTCAAGTGAAATGGATGAATCAGAAGTGGTGGTGGGAGAATGGTGATATCCTGATATCCTCTTTATTGATAGGCAAGTCTATTGTATGGCCATGTAAAATGGGGTTTGTTGTGAAAGAGCAGAAGGGAAAGGGGACAAAAACTGACCCATGAGGTTGTTGATTTTTTAGCCACATGGATATTAAAGTTACTGCGAGTGGTGACTAGAATTAAAAGAAGATCAATGCAGAGAGAACAAATCACTGGGAATTATTTTGACCTGGTAGGTGGTAGATGATCAAAAGGCAGAGGTGGAGCTGAATATATAAACTTCAAAAGAGCCAGGATTATTTTTCAGGAAGGATGGAATGAAATGCTCTAGAATGTAATGGAAATAATATGAAGCCCTCCACCTCTTAGAGAATGTTGTAAGGGAAGTAATGGTTCAGGAGTTGCCTAACACTTTTGATAAAAACAGGGGAGGTACTCTGTGAAGAGAAGAGCTTTATTAATGTCAGATTTTTTCTTCTTACAGACTTAAGCCAGATTGGGTTTTAAGAAGAGATAATGTGGAAGAAATCACAAATTCTCTACAAGCTATTCAAATGGTGATGGACACACTTGGCATTCCTTATTAATAAATAGAACCATTCTCACTATGTACAGTTAAAAACAAAAACATTTCAAACTGATCATGAATGTGTACAGTGTTTTTGACTTACTTTTCTGTAACTTCTAAAACCTGACTTTGTATTAAGATTTTAAATATTTATGTAATAAACTCATTTACAGTCTTCATTGCCTTTATTATTCAGCAGCTTTATGCATGTAATAGAGTGGTATATCACATGATTTTAGCAGTTATTCATACCTATTTACACTCTTATAAATACTGAAACTGTGTGATTCCACATACTCAGAAACCTAATTCCCATTGTTATTTGAATCTGAGAGCCCCAAGGTCTCTTCATATATGGAAATTATAACAATTTTAATTTTAAAAGAAATTAATTTTAAATTTTAATTTTAAAAGAAATTAAAAGTAGCTAGAAATGGGGAGGCCATTTAACTTATTGGTTAGAATTTGGATTAAACCTAATCTGAAATTGTCTGGGATTTGTTTAGGATAGATCTAAAAATAATACTGGCATTTTTTGAGTATATAGAAATTAACTCTGGAGAAATTTTGGCTTCCCTTTGCCTTGTTATTTTTCTTCTGATTAAGTGCTTTTAGGACTTCTTAGCACTCAGTATTTTCCAAACTGTTGCTTGTTGATTCCCAAATGCTTTGGTTTTCTCTTTAATCTAGTAGAATTTTAGTACAAACAATGCTAGAATATAATCAACTAGCCTAAAAATGTTACTGGTATTAGTTTCATCTAAAATAGTTATAGCCAGTTCATATTTGTACAAGAAACATTATATAACATGTGTAAAAGGATGGCTTTCAGATGTTAAATTATTTTCTATTATTGAATTTAAATCAAAAATACTTACAATTTTGCATCATGTCCTAACTTTATATATAAAGAACTTTCCTTCTACATTTATGTGATATATCCATACCAGAATTTTAAGAGTCCTATAAGCTAAAAGGCTTGTGCATCTGAGTTTGTGTGTTAATATACATGTATGTTAAATGTTAAGAAAGCTAACAAGGAGGTAATTAAGCCATTTAATTCAGAAGTAGCTATATTTTCTGCAGGTACTACATTATATTAAAGAAGGAATATATATGTATTGACTACAATCTAATTTTATTTTAGATGAGATAGTCTAGTACATTCAAACATGTTAACTAAGGAAATAGAAATACCAACTTTGGTTTGCATGTAGTTAATGGCTAAACTTGCTCATAGGTTTGCTTTTAATTTTTATTTTGTTCAACCAGTTGTTGATCCTTGTTGTAAACAAAAAGTGATGATCTGTAATTCTTTTTCAAGAAAGGAGAATCAAATGAAAATATTTTGTTTCTAACTTTTTTATCACCAAAAAAAAAATTCAAAAAGATATTTGTATTTGAGGACATATGTATTTGTAAAATACATATGTGTGTAAAATACATATTTGTAAAATATGTGTGTGTAAAATTTTAAGCCTGTAAAAAAACAAAGGAAATACTCCTAGAACTCACTTATATTAAGAACAATTATGGAAGACAATTTAAAGTCTTCTTTCTAAAACAGGAGTAAATTATGTATCCCTTCTGATTAAAAACAAAAGAAGTTATAGAAGTCTTATTTCAGTAACAAGCTTTAGAGAGTATTCTACAAATAATGTTTCATTATTACTGCACTGCTTTTCTATTTGTAACAATTTTTTTTTAATGAAGAAGCAAAAAGTAATTTGGTTTAATCTTTGTCCTTGCTTTGCAAAGCAATACCATAATTTGTCATCATTTGGTATAATAATGACAAAACATGAAGTTTCATACCTGATGATATTTCAGATAAATAGTTTTGGTATTGGTATTGGTATACCTGTCATCCATTTCCGTGACTCTTTCCATCTTAAAAGAAATTCCATACATGTTAACCAGTAAGCCCTTATTGCACAGATTCATATTTGCTCAAAAGCGCTACCATACTCAGAAGGGCAGCAGTATTCTCCCCTTCCCATCATATAGCCAGGCAGCTTGCTCAATAAAAAGTTCATCTTGATTCAGTCTCACTGGCAGCATACAAATGTCGCTTGTTCAGTAAACTCCATACCTTATAGAGCACAAACTGTTTCAAGTTACCTGAAACGCTAGTATAAGAAATACAGATTACAAATTGTGAGCCAAATGGTGATTCCAGCTAGATACTGGCAACTTGAATCATTGAGGATACTGTATTATATTCTTCTCTACTTTATACAAATGGAAAGTTTAGGAGTTCGTAAGTCAGCTTGAGTCCAGTTTTCCTTCTCTTGGACAAAGTATTCTAGCAGTAACCATTAAGACCAAATCAGAGGTAGAATGTGCCTGTGTCATTTTGGGAAATGATTTTGGCATGGTGTATTTGTATTTTACTTTTAACCTTTTGTGTGTTTGTGTAAAAAGGGTTTCTTGTAGAAGGCATATAATTGGATCTTAATTTTTTAATGCAATATGCCAAGCTGTCTTTTATTTGAGTTGTTTAAATTTTAATGTGATTATTGATGTGACTGTGATTATTAAACCAACTGTTTTATTTTCATCACATCTGCTTCACCCCCCCCCCTTTTTTTGGGGGGGTGATCTTTTATGGAAACATGAAATTGGTTTTCTTTTTTTTTTAATTGCATTATTTGCTTTGTTGGCTATTACCTATAAGTCTTTGCCATGTTGTTCTATTTGTTACTTTCAGGCTTCTGGTAACACCTATCACAACCTTCTGTAAGTAACATTAAACCAATTCACATGTAGTAAAAAGACCTGCAGTATGCCAGTTTCTGCCTTCCCAACCTTTGTGCTATTGTCAACATTTTACTTCTAGCATGCTATCTATACACAATAAATTATCTAGTCATCATTTTTGCTTTAAACCTTCGGTTACCTCTTAAGGATATCCATATAATTAAGAACTCTTCATCTTTGCTCACATAGGTACTAATTGAGTGTTCAGTCCTTGTATAGACCCAGATTTCCTTCCTCAGGTATTTTCCTGTGCCCAGTGAACTTCCCTTAGGTGATGTGCAGGTCTAAATTCTTGGTATTCTGCTGTCTCATTACCTGCCTCCAAAAGAGGGAAATGGGTTGCTGACTGACAGGTATGAGGTGGAGATTTATTACCTTATCCCTTATGAAGTTTGTACTATGTAAATACATTTGAAAATACTAAATTAAAATTAGGTTGTTTAGCTTTGCCCTTAACTGGAATAAAAGAGATTAATGGAGACTCATAATTTTTAAAACATTAACTATACTTTTTTGCTTTACTTGATTTGTAGGCATATATACTTAATATATTTGCTGAAATTAGTAATTCATTAAAATTTAGGTATCTAATTTGTATTTTACTTTTCAGGAAAGATCTCTGATTCCTGGCTCTAACAATTGTCAGATTTGTGACCCCACAAATCGCTTCAACTTCAGTAGTCTCTAAACTTCAGGAATGAGCGATAAAAATGAACAATAAAAAAAGAATGGCATATAGGTGCACCCAACAGTATAGATGAATCCCAAAACATTATGAGGGAAAGAAATCTTACAAAGAAGGATACTTGTACTTTTACATTTGTATGAGGTTCTTAAAGGAGCAAAGGATGTGTCTGGTGGAAGTGACTGAGAAGAAGCAAGAGGAAATATCTACGGAAATGGTAACTGGTAGAAATTTCAGATTCACAGAGGTGTGGATTGTTCAAAATTACAGAATGCACACTTAAATGTTACGCATTTCTTTGTAAATTTCATTTGGAAAATAATTGTAAAAAGAATTAAGCTTCAATAACTGATATATTAAGTATTTAGAGTACCATCCACAAGCATCAACAACTTTTGCTGAAATGCTTCAAAGGGTGGGTAAATATATTTTTAAAACAATAACATATTCATGGTAAAGACCAGATAGATGTTATTTAAAATTTTTCAAATTGAAAAATTCCTTGACAGGTAAGCAGAAGTCATAGTATATATTCCCAAACTGGAAGTGACATACCAGTTTAGTAACCTCTAAACTGAAAGCAATCCTTGACTGTAAAATGTATACCTAATGATGGATTATTCATAGAATGGAACCTTATGTAGAGAAGGAAACCTGTCACAGTGTGAGGTGTGCATCAGTGCTACGAACCAAATATGAAGCAAAAGAAGTCAATAAACTCAGCAGTCTCACTGCCCTAGTATGAACAAGTCCAAACTTCCCTGTGCTGTTAGAAGTGAAAGGAGTGTTAACCCTGAGTGAGGGTGGTTCTCAGTAGTGACATGAAAGGGGAATTCTGTTCACTTTGTTGTTGTGACTGCTAGTTTCATGGAATGTTAGGTTTGTGAGAGTCCACTGGGGCATGTTATCTTTTAAAGGTACAAAATTGAATGATAGTTCCCACCTTATAGTATTATTTTGTAATTTTTTTTAAAGATTTATTTATTTGTACATACAGAACTGGGGTACAGGCCAGAGGTGCAGGGGCGGCAAGAGGCTTCACCAGAGACAGAGTGGGGAGCAGAACAGGCAGATGGACGAAGTACACTGCTGAGGGGAGCAGCGGGCAGGTCAGGAGAGATCTGCCACGCTATGTGGATCTCTGGGGCAGGCGGGAATCGAACTCATGCGGAAGTGGCTTTAGCTTCTCCGTGCAGTGCTTTAACCTGCTGCACAACCAGGGAGGGCCCTTATTTTGTAATTTAAGTTGAAAGCTCATTAGAATATAAACTCATGAAGGGGGTAATTTTTATCTATATTTTTGTTGTTGGCACTATATATCCAAGACTAGAAAGTGACCTAGCATAGAATGAACACTCAAAAGTTTTCAGAATGACCAATAATACAGCACAATGCTTATTTCATCATTTGCCACAGAATACAACTCTAAATGGTACACATTACTACTTATAGACTATCATTACTCAAGACATTTAAGATCATTGTTCTCTTTAATCCATGCAACCTACACAGCACCATATACATGTATATTTAAAAATATGTATATATAACATTTGTTTATATCGTTAGATAGATTTCAGGTATACAACATTATAATATCTGTATGTGCTATATTGTGAACCCACCCAAAATCTCTACCATCATACAGCTGATCCCCTTTATTTTTTTTTCCCTTGTCTCCTTCCCTTCCAGTAACCACCATCCTGCTGTCAGAATCAAGAGGTTTGTTTCATTTGACATGGTCATATTTTAACATCAGTTATCCATTATCTCATGTTCCTAAGTTCATCTTTTCATTTGATCGATAGAGGCAAAGAAATCAGTGGCCACAAGTGAACTTTACTCTGTGGATTTATAATTGAAAATTAAAGTTAAAAATTTACTCCTTTCATGTAGATTGAGTTAATTATTATGCTGCTGTCCTTATGAGTTATCAATTTCTTATTTACCTCTTGCATGATCAATACTGTAAGTTAACATAGTTATATTGGTACTATTCAAAAATATTTTAAATGAATTATACAGCTTGTGACAAAGAGACTTAGATGTTGTAAATAATTAACTTTTTCTTCAAGAGAAGTGTTATGTAATTAATGAGGAACCCCTAGGACTTTAAAATTGTTAGTCTTTATTACGGACACCACTGAAGATGAGGTCAAAAGACTTGGCTTTTATCATCTTATTAATCCTACCTGGAGAACTCAATGCAGAAGGTAAAGATAATTCTTACTTTTCTTTATTACCTAAAAAATATAAAGAACATCTTTAAAATTAATTTAACTTGAATTTTTAATATACACATTCAATTGGGAACATCAATTTTACTAAAAATATTTCTTATAAATGTAATATTCTTTAATGCATAGAATTTTCCCTTTGGGCAGAACTAATAAAGTATTCTTATAGTAACATAAGATAAAGCATGCTTTGTATATCTGGATTTGCAGGCATTAAAAACCAGTATCTAAATAGCTTAAGGAATTTTCAGGTTAAAAATATGATCATCTAGAAGTTGTATGTTAACCTCAATTCTGATTGCTTACTGGAAGCCATTCCTATCATTTGCAAAGTTGTGTAATTTTAATTCTGTTTACATAAAGTGAACTTAAAGGGAAAATTTGAAAACAAGTTAAGTATAAATCTTCCTCAAGATTGTCAGCTGTCAAAAGAAGCAGATTTTTTTCTTAATGCTTTAGTCATTGACTGAAACCATGAAGTAGTACTTAGTAGGAGGACCATATAATTGATTATGCAAATAAGGACACTTAGGGAGTGAAAGGAGGCTCGACTAACAAATATGTAGCCAAAGCATTTAAGCCAGAACTGTTCCAGACAAACCAAAATCTTGGACTATATAAGAAATCTTCATAGACACAGAGCCTAGAGTACAAGCTACTGTGAACATGAGCAGACAGTATAAGTGCATGGGACTGCAATGATCAGCACTGTGAGGACAAGAAAACTACCAGGTCATGAAATGTTTACAGATACAGGCAAACGGAGCAAAATAACTTGAAGAAATAGACGACTTAGGGAATTTGTTCAAAGAAAGTATCCTCCAGATTAGAACTGTCTTTTAACTGAACAATTTCAATTTTCTACAAATTTTCTACTAAAAAAAAAAATAAGCTGTAACTGAAGTGATGAAAGTAAAATACTATAGTTAATAATATTCTGTTTTTGGAAGTTGCTAAGAATAGAACTTAAAAATTCTCATCACAAGAAAAAAATTAATAAGTATATGAGGTAATTGATGTTAACTAGACACATTAGAGTGATCCTTTCACAATATACACAAAGATCTAATTCATTGTGTATCTGAAACTAATACAAATGTTTATGTCAATTACATCCATCCCAATAAAAATGTTACATTAAGTTCATAAATTTAATTACTTGTGTCTAGCTTGTTTTATTCTGCAACACATTTGCGAAATTCAGCATTTAGCATTTGTGCTGCTGTATAAGCATAGTTTCAAATGTTTTTGTCTTTTCTGCCATTAATGACCATTTGAATTGCTTCCATTTGGGAACTGAATAAATAGTGCTGCTATAAATTATTTTTTAAAGGATTTATTTATCTGTGCTTACAGAACTGGGGTACAGGCCAGAGGTGTGGTGGGTGAGAGAATTCACCAGAGACAGAGGGGAGCAGAACAGGCAGATTGACAAAGTACACTGCTGAGGGGAGCATTGGGCAGGTCAGGAGACGTCTGCCGTGCCATGTGGGTCAGCTCATGCTACAGTGGCTCTGTAGAGCTTCATAATGTGGTGCTTTCACCCATTGTGCCATTTATAGGGAGAGCCTATAAATGTTTTTTTTTTTTACATGTGCCTGAGCATATAGATGTATGATTTTCTGATATGATGTGTGCATATAGTGTTCTGGTACATTGTGCAAAACTATCTTGTCGTGAGAGGTCATAGAAATTCATACTCTTACTTGGAGTCATGAGAGTTTTGATTTCTCTACAACTTTAACACTCACTGTGACCATCTGTCTTTTCATTTTTGTTATTCTAGAGGATGTGTACTAGTAACCATGATGGTTTAAATTTACATTTCATTGGTGACTCACAAAATCAAATACTTTTTACTAGATCTCTATCCATTTAAATATTCTGATTTATAAAATTCTTGATGTCTTTTATTGATTTTTTAACTGACAAAGCAAAAACCACTTATTTCAAAATTTTGCAGTTGCATATCTCTAAGAGAAATTCATCTATTTTAGAATACTCCTGTCCAATAGGATGGCCACTAGCCACATATGGCTGGTAAACTGTGCCTGTTGCGAATTTGGGGTGTGCTATAGAAATCAATAGACACAATTTCAGGCTTAGTAAGAAAAAAAGAATATAATATATACATTTATATATATTGCATCAAGTAAAACCTACCTTTAAAATTAACTTCTGCTCACCTATTTTTTGGTGTGGCTACTAGAAATTTCGCAATTACATGTGACTTTGTATTATATCTAGAATGTGCTGTTTTTAAAAGGTAGGGAAAGAGCCCCTGTAAAAACAGTGCCCTGCTTAGTTTTATTTTGATTATGTGCACTGGGGTTGCTAGCAATTTAATTCTGATTGAAAAAGATTGTCACAAAAGTACCTTAAACACTTAGGTAATAAATAAATACCTACTAGTTAAAGAGTCTGCAAACACTTTCAATTTAAAAATGTATTGTTTGAACACAAATGTCGAAGTTTTAGATATGTTTGTTTTCAACTTGATATTTACTCATTTCAGAGAAACCATGTGATCTTCCTCATTTGAAAAATGGAAATTTTGCCCTATTTTACTATACTTTTAAAAATTACTACTTTCCAATGAGCATAGGTAAAAAAATACCATATTCCTGCCTCCCTGGTTATACAACCAAAACTGGTAAACAAGAGGAGCAAACCACGTGCACAGCAGGAGGCTGGTTTCCAGAGCCAAGTTGCTTCAGTAAGTTTCTGGGATGTGGTATCAATGCACATTTGTAAAGATGCACTAAAAACTGACAATGGTTAAACTTCTGATAGCTAAAAAAAAAAATTGCTGACACACTGTCTTTTTTTTTTTCCAGCAAGAATCTATATTCTCAAATTCTATAGCATTTCTCATTAAAATGTTTCTCAACTTGCGCTTAATGAAATCTGTGAAGAAAATAAGGATAATGATTAAAAGTATTTATTAGATGGAAAGAAGAGATACAATTGAGTTAAGTAGAGGAACTTGTACAGACAATGTTAAAGCTAATGTTCAAGCAAGAAAAATGTTTTTTTTTTTTTAAAGATTTATTTATTTGTGCATACAGAACTGGGGTACAGGCCAGAGGCTCAGGGGCGGTGAGAGGCTTCGCCAGAGACAGAGTGGGGAGCAGAACAGGCAGATCTATGAAGTACACTGCTGAGGGGAGCAGCGGGCGGGTCAGGAGAGGTCTGCCACGCCATGTGGTCACCTCCGGGGCAGGCAGGAATCTAACTCATGCGGAAGCGGCTTTAGATTCCCAGTGCTGTGCTTCAACCTGCTGCGCCACCAGGGAGGGCCACAAGAAAAATGTTTTACCCTGGCCTCAGGAAGAACAAGATGGTTGCTTTAGTGTTTTATCATTTGAAAGACTTCTTCCCATTATATGCCAACTTCTTTTCTTACAATATCCTTATGAATTTTTGTTTAATTTTGGGTTGAAATTTGTGAAAAGGAAATCTGATTAGTATATCTCTTTATTTCATGCCAGGTTATGCTAAAGTCAGTCAATGGATTTCTTTTGAGTTAGGTGAACTCAACTGAGTGGAGAATTTCCTGAGAATTGTTGTGCAGAACAAGAGTCTTCGGTCAATTTAGAAGAGAAAGTTGAGTGTATGGTACCTAGTAGTTACAGTGGTTGATATAAAAATCTATTTGGGAAAATTTCCAGGACAGACTATAAATTTAAGTATTATACTTTAGAATTAGCACAGACTAATACTAATATTTATTTTAATAAACCCCATTCAGCTTAAAAATAGACAGCTTTACTAACTCTTTGCAGTTAGGGTAATATAACTGGTGGCTGAAGCCCAAGATGATTATAAGTGGCACCCCTGGAGGGGGCTGCTGGTGAGGTAAGAGTGTTGAAACTGGAGCCAGGAGAGAAGTAAGTGTTAGTGACATAGTGTAATGGTTACAAGTCAGATTGTGCCTGTGCTGCTCTGCCAGTGCTGTGTGACTTTACCAGTCTTAGCCTGTTTCTCATCTATAAAATGGGAATAATGTTGCTTCCATGAGGTATAACTCATAAAGTAGTTGTCACACAGAGAGTATGAAGTATGTTCAAATTAATATTAGCTTTGAGCAAGACTTTTAACTTTTCTACGTTGGTTTGGTAAGAGGGTTTAATAATGGGACTTGAAGACTAATGGAGCTCTATACAATGCTAAGGTAATTTTATTAGCTGAAATATTACTGTTGCAAATATTTACTAAAGAACAAGTCTACAGGCTTTGAGTAATATGTTCATACTCAGTTACAGTTAATATGAATTGATTATCATGTCTTACTGCACAGCTAGGTGATCATTTGTTGATAATAAAAGAATAAAATTTTCACATTAAGATTTCTGCAGTTGTGTAAATATCAGTGAAGTAGATAAATGCTTTTGCTACATGTTAAGCCTACTGTGTTATCAAACACAGTATCAGAAAGTAAATCCAAAAGGAATTACTTCTATTGCCCACTAACGCTCAGTTAATGGAAGAACTTTTGATATTTTTTCTAAAGTAGAGGTGGTGAAGGTAAAAATAACTATGAAAATGAAATCAATAATACAAAGAATTTCACCATCAAATGAAACCAGTTTTTAGAGAAACCTCTTGCATTATTATATTGAAGATATTTTCAAAATTACATTAAATCAAAGAATTGTTGAGTGATTTTTTTTTCTCTTTTAACTTCCTAGGATAACATTAATGTTTGCCTTAGTTTTACAGTTTAGTAAGGACAAGATTAATTTCATCAACTTAAGCAAAGAAATATTTTCCCCTTAGAAAAATGCGCTAAGCCTGACTTAAGAAATGGTTACATTGTTGATGCAAAATCATTGTACAAATTTCAAGAGAGTATGCGCTATGGATGTGCATCAGGGTACAAAACCACTGGCGGTCAGGATGAAGAAGTGGTTCAGTGTCTCCCTGATGGATGGTCTTCTCAACCCACCTGCAGGAAGGAGCATGGTATGTGTTTAAGACTTTCATAAAATTAAAGTGTTTTCCAGGCTTGTATATTTTCAGATTATGGGTCTTTTTATTTATTAGAATTGATTTTTCATTATGTTTGCAAATGCAAGCAGCTTGTATTGTCTTTCTGAAATGTTAGGTTTTTCCTAAATTCAAGCATTCTTTTTTATATTACTTATTTGAGGGAACACTGATTTCTATCACAGAATATGATTTAGAGGACTAGGCCTCAAATGTACATGACCACACTTCACCCACACCAGAGCACCACACCCATGCCAGAGCCTGGTGGACTTCGAACCTCTTCCCCTCTACATCCCCCCTCCTCTAATAACCTCAATTCTGCAGTCATTTCTGGAATTTGTTTTGGTTTAATTCTTTTTTTTTTTTATGTTCCACATAAGAGTGAAATCACCTGGTATCTGTCTTTCTTCCTCTGGTCTATTTCACTTAGCATAATCCCCTGGAATTCCATCTATCTTGCTGTATATGGCAGGCATTCCTTTGTTTTTTAAAGCTGAGTAGTATTCCATCTGTGTATGTACTATATCTTCTTAATCCAGTCATTCATTTGTCCATGGACACTTAGGTTGCTTCCATAACTTAGCTATTATAAATAGTACTACAATGAACACAGAAGTATATGTATATGGTTTTAATATTTTGAGAAAATTCTACAGTATTTTTTATAGACTAGTCTGTGCTCCCATCAACACTATTTAAAGACTTCCTATTCTCCACACCTTCTCCAATATTAGTTGTTTCTATTTTGGTGGTGTTGTTTTTTGTTTTTGTTTTTGTTTTTAATATGGGCTACTCACTAAAGTGAGGTGTTATCTAATTGTGGTTTTGATTTGCACTTCCTGATAATAAATGATGCTGAACATTTTTTCATTTGCCTGTTGGCCATCAGTATGTATTCTTTTGAGAAGTGTCTATTTAGTTCTTTTTCTGTTGATTGATGGGTTTCTTTATCCTCCTTTTATTGGGTTTTATGAGTTATTTTGTAGATCTTAGAGACCAGCCCCCTGCTGGATATATGATGTACAAATATTTTCTCACAGTCAGTAGGATGACTTTTGTTTTATTTATAGTTTATTTTGATGTGCAGAGACTTTTCAGCTAATTCAAACATTCTTAATTAACACACTTATTCCAGCATTTTTTACTTTATAATAATGAGAGAAAAAAGAATTGGGGTAGAATAATAAGAAACAACCTTAATATACCTGTTTCTACCAATGTAAATTTGTTATTTCCCTAACAAGAGAAGAAATGGGGGTAATACACATTGTTTTATATTGTAAACCAATATCAAATACAATAAAAATTAGGCATTAATTTGAATATGTATATTTTGATGGTTGTAAATTGTTAAAATTGTATAAATTCAGAGGAGACATATGATCTAAAAGTTGTTACTGCATAAAACTTCAGTTTAATAGTGGTCTTTGGTCAAGTACCCTAGATTAGAATTTCAAGAATAGATTACATGTGGCATTAGGACACAGATGTCTGAGAAAAGGGAAGAGAGATGAAAAATTAATTCATATAATTTTAAGATTCAGGGAAAATAAGTTTGAGATTTGTTTTTTCAATCACAAAACAAATAACTTTAATAATTTTTAGAAACATGTTTGGCTCCTATCTTACAACATGGAAATTATTCCACAACTCAGAAAATATTTCAAGTGAAGGACAAATTACAATATGAATGTTCTACTGGCTACTACACAGCTGGAGGGAAGAATACAGAAGAAGTAGAATGTCACACGCATGGATGGTCTCTCATACCAAAATGTACCAGTAGGTGCTCACTTGGAAGACAATTACTTCTACTCTGTAAACTTCATCTCATACAGAAGTACATATAATGGTCATCCTAACTATGTTGCATTTTTCATAGTTCATTTTTGCTTCTGATTTTAAAAATGTAGGTAGCGGGTTTTCATCATTGAAGCTCTTAACAAGGGCAAATTCCTTTTAGCTCAGATAATGAAATTAAGACTAATCTTATTTAATTAACATATCAGTTAACACACTTTTATGGTTCGTAGCAAAATATGACAAATTTATCAATGTTATTGTATATGCAGCAAGTAAATAGTAGGTTAATGTTTTTCTAGTAGGAAGAATAACACCTCTTTGTTTTTTCCCCAATTTTTAGAGTTAAGATGCCCTTCTTTAAGATTAATAGAAAATGGTTATTTTCATCCTATTAAGCAAACCTATGAGGAAGGAGATGTAGTTCAATATTTCTGTCATGAAAATTATCACCTAAGTGGCTCAGATTTAATTCAGTGCTATAACTTTGGTTGGTACCCAGAATCTCCTATTTGTGAAGGTAATTTTTTAAATTTCTGAGTCATATTAATAAATATCATGTTTTAATCTTTATGGGCTTTTAAGTAAATGGCTGTTGTGATATCTAAATCTTGTCTTCAGTGCTACTGAAAATGCTATTGTTTTATGTCAGTGCTATTTTCAGCAATGTATCTTTTGAGCTTATTTTTAAATTTCTTATCATGAACTTTAAAACTGAATAAATGGAATTTCAATTATCCCTACCTGGCTGTTTTGATGAGGTACTGTCTTATTTGGCCTTCTGTTTCCTAATGTGAGAATATAATCTCCAAAATAATGGGGTAGAGTGTAGAAAATGCAGCTCAATATTATCCAGAGTCAAAATGAAAAGCAGTATCTAATAGACGCTATCCTAAAATGTAATGGCTATTTATGGTTAAATTTCTTGTTAGAATAAGTCATCAGCTTAAGAGTTATTCAAACATTTCACAATGTGATATTAAGAGGTTCTTAGTTTAGCTTTTAAACAGATATTTAAAAAGTAATTGGTAATATGTGATATAAATATATATAATGTGGTCAAGTTGGGTGTAATGTGTGTGAACAAACACTAAATGTTCTAAGTGGTGTAGTGAGAGAGAGTATTTACTGAGGTGTGATTAATTTATGAACAGGACCTGAAAAGATACATAGGAATTTGAATATTGGAGGAGTTCAGAGTGGTAAAGGACTTGATAGCTTCTATTTTCTCTATATGATAAGAAATGATGTCATTATTGATAGAAGGGAGACATAGAGGGGTAGAACTTGAAAGACAATGGTGAGATTTGAAATAGGTGCTAGGAAGAATGAGAGCAGGAATTTGACCAGGAACATGCAATGGGATTGACCAAAGCTATCATAATTCTTTAAATGCACCAAATAGTGACTTTATTTCAAAATTTGCTGTTGTGCTTAACAGTTTCATTCTAGCTGGAGAAAGGAAGGTTGTTAGCTTACTGTCTGTTGCATGTTATTTAAAAAAATCTATGGCAAACCTACTTAACTTATATTTTAGTTCCCATCCCCACTCAAATTAGTCAGCATTCCAATTACTTGTTATTTTCTCTAGTAAACAGTCGCTAGGTGTAGGACAGGCAGTGTAGTAAGCTGAATAATGCTCTGTTTTACCATCCCTCATCCCCAGCAAAGAAATCCATGTCCTTATTCTTGGAATAAGCAAATTTGACAAAAGGGACTTTTCAGATATGATTAACTAAGGATCTTTAAGTAGAAATAGTACCTGGGAAAATCCTAATGAATAATCACAAGACTTCTTATAAGGGAGAGGTTTGATTATAGAAGCACGATACTGTAGTGATATGAGAAAGGGCCCTGAGTGAGGAATGCAGGCAGCTTCCATAGGGTTGACAAGGCAGAGTAGCTGATTCTCTCTTAAAGCTCCAGAACTGCAGCATGCCTGACTTGGTTTGGTTTTAGCCCCAGTGAAACTATTCTACAATTGGCTTCCAGAAAATCCAGAAGAATAAATTCATGCTGTTTTAAACAATAAATTATGGTAATTTGTCATTGCCACAAAAGCAAACTAATATAGTCAAGGTTATGGAATATCCAGAGCAGTAGATTTTAATTCAGATCGACATCCACTCAAGACCAGATCCTCCACTTATTAATTTACTTCATGTATTAAGTCTATTTATAATATGGGAGACATGCATAATAGTTCCCACTTACTAGCTATTTTAGGAATAAAGGAGATATGAATAAAAAGTGCTTGCTGGTTCAGTTATTTGTTGGTGCGTAGCAATGTTACTATAACTTTAGCAGTTTAAAATAGTACATTTATATTATTTTACAGTTTCTATGAATCAGGATTCTGGGCTATAGTGTAACTAGCTCCTCTGTATTTGTTTCTATTGAAACTACAGTCTAGGTATTGGCTGGGGCTGCAGTTTCATCTGACGCTCACCTAGGGACAAATCTGCTTCCAAACTCACTAGTTATTGACACCGTTCAGCACTTTACAGGTTGCTGAAGTAGAGGCCCTCTGCCCTTTGTCTCATGGTTCTCCCTATTTGGAAGCTCACACGTGGCACTTTCTGTTTTTTTAAAATCAGCAATGAGAGTCACTCAGTAAGAATGGTGTTATAGTATTTTGTTGCATAATCACACACAGATAATCACTTTTATCTCATCATCCTTGTTGCATCCTATTGGTTAGCAGCATATGGCAGCCCCTGCTCATGGAGATAGTTACCTTCCACCTGAGGCAGTGAACATAAGGAGGTGGGGACTGAGCAGGTGACACTGCGTCTGCCATTCTCCCATTCTTGTGGTACTTGGCATGATGGACATGCTTATGAAACCTTCATTTCTACTTTGGGAGTAATTTTACAACCAAATATGCTTTTTTTTTTTTTCACTAGGAAGAGGAAATCGATGTCCTCCTCCCCCTCTTCCTCTAAACTCCAGGATTCAAACATATTCCACAACTTATCATCATGGAGAAATAGTTCGTGTAGAATGTGAACTTAATTTTGAGATACAAGGCTCCAAAGAAATACGTTGTGAGAATGGAAAGTGGACAGAACCTCCAAAATGTGTTGGTTAGCAATGCCACAAATAAGCTTTCCTCAAATGACATCTGTGAATGTAGCTAAATAGTCTCTTCTCTTTAAATTGCTCCTTTCCAGAAGAAAAGGAGAAGATAGCCTGTGAGGAACCACCCTTCATTAGGAATGGGGCAGCAAACCTAAACTCCAAAATTTACTACAGTGGGGATAAAGTGACATATGGATGTGAACATGGCTATTATCTCCGTGGAGCAAAAGAAATCACTTGTAAACGTGGAAAATGGACACTTGCCCCTCAGTGTGTTGGTATGTTGCTGCATTTAACATCAGTAATTTAGCCCATTGTGTAAAATTTTCTTTTATTTAATCATGTAGTGGTCACTGTTTGGAAGATTTAAAAACACACTGATACTGTACATACTTTCATACTTTTTCTGGGTCTGTGGAATCAGCTATTGAATGTGATTTTATTTTTACCAATAAAAATAATAAGAGAAGTAAATTAAGGGTACCTTGGATTGGTGATGGGCCACAAGTGGTGTTCCTTTCTCTATTTGTCCCTCCAAGTTAGGGTGAATACTTTGTGTCAGTCCTGCTATTACCTTCTCTTCTGGCCCTTCTTATACCTGACCCTGGTCATTTATTTCACTAAAGGGCACAACCAGTTTATATAGCACTACCTGAGTACTGTCTCCCTGTCATCCTTCTCTCTGCCAGATCACCTTCTGGAGAGGGCTCCACAAATGTACTTGCCCAGGATATTTGTTGTATAATGAAAAACTTATTAAGGAGATTAAAGAAAGTAGCAGTGAAAGAAAGACTTTTAAAAGACAGAAAATAATGAAAAATTTTATCCATGGTTTGAAACCTGAGATGAAAGAGAATAAGAAGGAAAACATGTGAAAGTGGATAGTGACATAAGACAGCTGCAGGACTGACTGTAGCCTTTGTGCTAGAGCACTGTTTCCCTTTCTGTCAATTTTATCAATTTCTATCAATTTTTTTAAAGATTTATTTATTTGTGCATACAGAACTGGGGTACAGGCCAGAGGCTCAGGGGCGGTGAGAGGCTTCGCCAGAGACAGAGTGGGGAGCAGAACAGGCAGATCTATGAAGTACACTGCTGAGGGGAGCAGCGGGCGGGTCAGGAGAGGTCTGCCACGCCATGTGGTCACCTCCGGGGCAGGTGGGAATTGAACTCATGCGGAAGTGGCTTTAGATTCTCAGTGCTGTGCTTTAACCCGCTGCGCCACCAGGGAGGGCCAATTTCTATCAATTTTAAGAACATTATTAAGAACATTATAATTTATTCACAATCATGAAAAGTAAAATATCAAAACTTGTTACTACAAAAACCATTGCTTTTCATTCTTTCTTTATTTCTTTAAATATTTCATCTGAATCATTTCTCTCATTTCTGATGAATTTAGGAATTGTCTGAAATTATACAGTGCAAATATTGATGTATTATAGTATAGGTGACAATATATGATTCTGTTGTTAGAAGTTCATAGTAATTTTATTTTTTTCCCATAGAGAGTAATGAAAATTGTAATCCTCCACCTAATGTAGCAAATGGGGCTGTTGTTGATGGATTATTGCCAAGTTACAAGTCCGGATCTTCAGTAGAATATAGATGCAATGAATATTACTTATTGAATGGAACAAAAATTTCTCATTGTGAACAAGGAAAATGGTCATCCCCACCAGTCTGTTTAGGTGAGATACAATGAAAAGCTTTCCCAGCTTTTTTGAGGTATAATTTACGTACATCATTGTCTGTTATAAGGTGTGCCATGTAATGGGTTGATTCATTCATATATAACAAAATGGTCACAAGATAAAGTTAGGTAACAATACTCTACTTCACATACTTAATAACATTTGTGATGTTTTAATAATGACATTTAAAATCTACTCTTAGCAACTTTTAAGTATAAAGAATAATATTGTTTATTGCATCACCATGCTATATATATTGGGTCCCCAGGATTTACTCCTCTTACACCACTGTACATTAAAATTGTTTGCCATTCTGTTTGTGTTTTCATATGATTTTAATGTTATGTTCTATAGCATGGAAATGATGATTTCTAAATGTCTTCTTCTCCAGTGGTTTTCATTCTCATTTTTGTAAGCAAAAAACCCTTACTATCTTAGAGTCAGGACTACATTAATTCCAAACCCACCACTATTTTAAAAACTGATGAAATATTTATGAATAAGACTTTACCATTTTAACAAATTTAAGTATGAATTTCAGTGCTGGTAAGCATATTCACATTGTCATGACTGATTAATTTTGGTGTTGTCTTTCTTCTAAATGAAACTTCCTTTACTGTCATCCTCAAAGTCTCTGTTTGTATAATCTGTAGAATGCCTTTGGGCAAGAAGAATAATTAATCCCACTCTGTCATTAGCAGATTGTTCATATCTTTCTTAAGACTACTTCCTCACTTAATTATTACTTTTAAAACTACTGTTGAGCAAATAAAAACATACTTGTAGCTATTCAATATATATTTAGTTTCAAGTGGAAAATTGTTGCAGTTGTTTAACTACCAACATTGAGATAAATTTGAAAAAATAACTTGCACCTCAATCAAGCCTGTAGATTTGCTTCATCGTTAATTTTGCTCTTAAGAGTTATGTAAAAGTAATTCAACTGATCACTACAGCTTCAATGAAATTGTTATAACTTTCAAATAGGTAATGGCACAATAAATATCCTATGAATTAAGTCATTTAATTAAAATATTAGCCTTTTATACTACAAAATCAAGTTAACTTTTTTTTACCAAAAAGGTTAATAAGTATGTAGAGGAAATGACTAGAAGAAAACAGAAAATATCAGCAACTTAAAAAAAATGCCTTAAATGAAAGATAGTGGTCTCCTGCTCCTTCACACACTCTCTCTCACACAAAATATATAGTATTGTGAAAGACTATCCATTCTTTCATATATTGCAAATATGATTTGATATTCTTCAACAATATATATTTTAATGACTATATATTATTACATAATGAAATTAGACCATAGTTAAATTGATCACTTTTTATTAATGTTTAATCTGCTCTCAACATTTTCCATCAGTGCATTAATACCAATTTTTGTAAATTTAAACACTTTTATTTTTAAAACAATTTATCTTTATTTTACTTTTTTCTGGATTTGCTGAATAGGAATTTATGGGTCAAAGAGATCTGGAATTTTAATCATGTTTCTAATGACCCATTTGTCTTCAGAGAGTTTATTCTGATTTACAACAGCATGTCCACTGAATTAAAGAAGTAGTTTCCCTAAACTTTGTCAATAAATATTTTAACATTCACATGCTTCTAACTCAACAGTTTAAATTATTTTAACTTGACTTAGCTAATTACTAATCATTTGGGCATTTTTCCAATTTTGTAATGGCTGCTTTTTAAGTGAACTGATTGGTCATACATAGTTCAGCCTTTTTCTCATGCTCATAATAAGAGTTTTATCTATATAAATTATTTATTCCATTAACATCATATATATTGCAACTATATACATTGATATATACATTGCAACTATATACATATTGATAGTGGTTTTTTTATACTGTAAGTTGAAGTTTTACATCTTAAGCTCTTTCTACATCTCCTTAGTGGTTTGTGTCTTACAGATCATTCTTAGGCTATTGTTCTCATTCAGATACTGATATATTTTCATGTATTGTTTATTTTTAATTGCTATCTTTGTAAATGCTATGTTTTTATAAGTATTTTTGATGATATGATTGATATTTGCACTAAATAGAAGTACAGTCCTCTCTGAGGGCAGAGACTGGATTGAAATTGAAATGGACAAGCTAGTAATGGAGCAACCTCATTAAGAACAACATTTGAAGGAATTGGTCATTTTATATATGGAACAACTGTCTCAAGACAACTAGATAATGTGGTAATGAACCAACACAAATATTAACCAAAGATAATTTGTGGTCATCAGGGTGGGAAGAAAATTCTTATAAACCTTTGCAATTGAAAATACTCTCACTACAAATAGCAAAAACAGTATGATGAGGAGCAGAATTTTCCAACTGTAAAATTGCTCTTCCAGGCATTTTGAACCTCGCATGCTTCTTCCTGATCTTCACTGTTTTCATTCTTCTACAGCCATTTACTCTAATCTCATAGTTTTTTTTTGCTTTAGATATTATCTCTTTCACATTTGTCAAATGAACAAAGAATGCAAAAGAGTATTTTGTCTTACAGAGCCATGTACTGTTAATGTGGACAACATGAACAGAAATAACATAGAGATGAAATGGAAATACGAAGGAAAGGTCTTACATGGAGATCTAATAGATTTTGTATGTAAACAAGGATATGATTTAGCTCCATCAACATCACTGGCTGTCTTGTCTGTACAGTGTAATAGAGGGGAAGTAAAATATCCTTTATGTTTTAGAAAAGGTAAAACAAGTGTTTTCTTACAGTTTCTTACTTGATCAATGTCTCTATGGTTGAAAGTAATGACTCTAAACAACAGTCATCACCTTTTTTTTAATCCAAGCAATCATAAATCATTTGATCAATCTCTTTCCAGTACATAAACTTAAATAAGATGACCATGCTAACATGTGTTGACTTCAGTTAAAGTCCATTTTATGAAGAGAGAGATCAAATGCTTTTATAAATATCACCAATCTCTCAGAAGTTTGAGCATCCTATTATCAGTAATCAAAAATCCTATAAAGCATTACTCCTTGGGGTTTTCTAGAAAGTAGTATCCAGAAGAGGGCTTGATATACATTGAGAAATTTTGCTCACTCCTTGTAGTATGAGTTCATACAGAGAGTAAGGCTTCAAGAGGTATCATATACTTTCACTTTCAACTAGAGAGGAAAAAAATAAAATCACAACTAAATATTTGGGTGGTGTGAGTATATACTTATAATTTGAGATTATAATTGCAATAATAAATTTCATAGCCTGCAGTTATTGGAGAAATTTAGAAGTATTGAAGAGTTATCTTAAAGATGCTTGTACATGAAATATTGTATTCCTGAAGCCATTACAAAGGCACAGAATTTTTATTACAGCGGTTCATTGTATGCTTTCAAATTATTTTTGCAGAATCTAAAGGAATATGTGCACCTCCTCCTCTTATTAAAAATGGAGTTATTGTTAGTTCAATAGTAGGCACCTATGAAAATGGTTCCTCAGTAGAATACAGATGTTTTGATCACCATTTTCTACAAGGGTCTAGGGAGTCCTATTGTTTAGATGGATTGTGGAGTACACCACCTTCCTGTTTAGGTATGTACTGTTTGTCTCTATTAAAATAAACTTTTACTTTTCACTTTCTACCCTTATTGATTTGGCATGAGACTAATGAATGCTTAATTTGCTACATTTGTGTTACTAGTGTACCTATTTAATCACTGTTTTGTGTTCTTTTGTTTAGTTCACAAATCACTATAGTTCAGTTTGCTCTCATAAATACTCATTAAGTAAACACCATACATCAGGTACTAGGGCAGTAAGATGAATAAACATATAAGAGTGATCATTCAGTTTGATTGATACAATAATAGCAAATATTAGTGTATTGAGGTAACAAAACTGGGAATGGCCACCTCAATACGGAAAAATGAAGTAAGTTCCTGCCTTTTTTAGCAATACATTGAAATTAAAGCAATATCTAGCAAGATTCTGAAAAGGCATAAAATAGCATATATCAAAATAAAGAAAATATTTATTTTGTATGAAACTTTTATGAATTTTCTTATTTCAATGGCTAAGATTTTGGTACAATTAATGTTGAGTAGTAGAGGTAGTGAATATCTTTTCCAGTCTTAGAAGTAAAGCTTTTAACAATTCATCTTTAAGATTTATTTTTATTTATTTATGCATACAAGAACTGAAATGTGTTTCTGGAATTTCTACTTTACCCTTTCTCCTTTTGTAGGTTCAAGTTGTTTGATAAAAGACTCCATCTTAATATCTCTAAACCATATTAATCACCCTTATCTATAATTCTTGGTTTGTAGATTAAACTGTCTGGATCATCTCTAGACTTGTTTGTACTGTTTAGCCTCACAATAAAAAAACTTTTTTAAAAGATTTATTTATTTATGCATACAAGAATGGCGTACAGGCCAGAGACGTGGGGGGTGAGAGGATTCACCAGAGACAGAGTACACAATGCTGTGCTTAACCCATTGCGCCACCAAGGGAGACCCTAGCCTCATTTTTTGCTATTTCTTTAACAGCGATTGAATATTAAATGTTATATGTTATATATGAGAATTTTTAGGCACTTGGGCTGTGATGTTATATCCTGGATAATACTTAGCCCATCTTCTGGTAGTATGGAGGCAGTGAGTCTCAATCCTATTACAGATGAAACTTTCTCTTAAGTTTATTTTCAGACCTTTATCTACACCTTTCTTCTCTCTTTGTCACCTTGCAGGATTCTTTATTGGGAATTTGGTTATAAACTAAGTTTCCTCTTCCTTAATTGATTCTGATGTCATTGGGAGATAAAAGGGAAAGCTACAAGGAGTGTCAAGTTCATTCTCTATAGCTCTTATCTTACTAGGTTCTTGACGCATGAAGTCTTTGGCTAACTCAAGCTTCCATGTTCTAGTCTCAACCCCTGATATTTCCCAAAAATCTGTTTGTTATTGACCATTTTCAACCAGACTTTCAACATATTTTCAAGAGAAAATTGGCACAGAGAATGTTGAGTTCATCTACAGGAGCTTTTATCAGAACTTTGGAATCTTAAGTCATAACTGTCTTTGACATTCTCCAGTTGCTTGAAATAATACCCTTTTTTAATTTTCATACTTTTTGGTTCTTGGTAAAAGTATTAATTTGATATAGTTTACTTTGTCAGAGTCAAGAGCATAAGGTAATGGATTAATTTTTACTTAGTTACTTTCATGGATCAATTTTTAACATGTTTTAATTAAAATTTCATGTTTTGTGGAACAATGAGATTCTAAGTTATACTACTCATTAGCAAGACTATTTTGTGGTCATTATGAAAATCCCATTAGAATCTTTCTAATAAAAACCTGTCCCTTTCTATTCTAACAATTCAAATCTATAACATCTAACATGACCTTACCTACTAGGCATTCAATAAATAGTTGAAAAGAATGGAATGAATAAGTGTGTTATTGGATTCTTGTTGTGATTCATATTTTCTATTAGCAAACCTGGATGGTTTAACCTATTTTAAAAGACACTCCTAAATGCTAGGACATCCAGAAGTTATCTAAGAACAGAAGCAATGTCACTTTCTGAAATGAATTGACATTTTGAAAATATCAATATTTTCTTCATGAAAAAAAAATCAAAGGTGTTTGTTGGGTAACCTATACTTAAGGTTTTGTTTTGTTTTGCTTTCATATATAATGGGATGATTACAAATAATACATTCAATGCCTAGGATTTAAAATATCTTAATCAACTCTTCATATAACTTAATGACTGTAAATTCAAAGGAAAAAGCACAATTAGATACTTTGAATACCATCTATAAAGTTGGATTCAGTGTTAAGAAAACAGTTTGTTGTTCGGAGGTTCCTCAAACTGCTAAACATGGAGCTTCCCTACGACCCAGCAATCCCACTCCTAGGTATCTACCCAAAAGACACAAAAACACTGATTGAAAAAGATACTTGTACTCCCATGTTTATTGCTGCTTTATTTACAATTGGAAAAACATGGAAGCAGCCCAAATGCCCAAAAGTAGATGACTGGATTAGAAAGATGTGGTACATATATACAATGGAATATTACTCAGCAACCAAAAAAGAGAAACACATGTCTTTTGCAGCAACTTGGATGGAGCTGGAAAAGATCATGCTTAGTGAGATAAGCCAGAAAGAGAAAGAAAAATACTGGATGGTTTCACTCATAGCAGGAGTATAATGGACCAGGCGAGAAAATAACAAAAATAATGAACAACCATATACCAGAGACATTCTGTGGGGGTGGAGTGGGGAATGGATCAAAAAGTGGGGGGGGAGGGAGGGAAATGCACGGGACTATGGTGGTGGCACAGGGGTGATTTGGTGATGGGAAACCCGTGGGGATTACAATCGAGATGGAAAAAAAAATGTGCAAAATGATGTAAAAATGAACTTTGTAATAAAAAAAAAGAAATAAAACAGTTTCTCCATTTCCATAAAAATATTAGTTATCAAGCTATCAATCTAGTTTGTCTCATGGGTATGTTACTTGAACCTTTGGAGGAAGAACAAGAAAAAAATGACGTAATTTCTATGATTGTTAGCTACACTTAATGCTCTAAAATAGAACCTTGTGTGTTTGCCACTCTAGCACCTGAGTAAGAAGTATAGCACTTTATGTTTGTATTACGATGTATCAAGAAAATGTTTTTTCTTTCAGAGCCTTGCACATTATCTTTTGATAAAATGGAAGATAATAATTTACTCTTGAAATGGAATTTTGACAATAGACCACATATTTTCCATGGCGAGTATATTGAGTTTCGCTGTAAGAGACATTCTTATATAGCTGAGAAATCTACTATGAGAACTGAACTTAGAGTGCAATGTGAAAGAGGGCAGTTAAAATACCCAAGATGTATTGAAAGACAAAGGTAAAAAAAAGGCTTGTTGCTACAATTAATATTTTTGTCAGATTCTTATTCAAAGGATTTATTATATTTTAAATTCCAAAAACATTAGGTGCTACAACACTCCTACTTTATGGTCATAGTAAAGGAAAAGAATAATTTTCTTTAGTGTTTTTTAAAACAAGCAAGTGCCTAGAAGTATGAATTCAGCAAGCTTTCTGAGAAGCCCAAAGTCAAAGCATTGCTTGCTATTTGATATTTGTGACATTATGACAGTTAGTGAAATAATTAAATTTATAAGGATTTAAAATTACTTACTGAAGCGTTTCCTTTTCTGCCGATTGAAAATTATCTTCTACTTGATGAACTGAAATAATGCTGATCTTTTTTAGAAATATATTAAAAATAATATAATGAAATAATATAATTTTATAGCTTGGGAACTTTGAGACCTTTAAAGATAGAATATAAAAAGAAAATTAAAAATTATGGATGTTCAATTACCAATATTTAAAAAACATGCATAAATACATGTATTTTTTAGATGTTGTAAATGATGAACTATATGAACTGCTTAAGGATAGCTCTTTAAAGATTTTGCACACTCTAGAAAAAGTCACTAATGAGCAGCACATTGGTGAGAAACTTTTATTATCAGTTTTTAAAGTCAGTTAGAAAAATGTTATATAATGTTTTAGTGCATTTTGCATTTTTAAAAATACTAATACAAAGTATAAAAGATAGTGTTAGTGTAATAAATGGCACTGAGTTTTTAAAAAGGAATTGCTTTTGTTTTGCCAAGTATGGATATTTGTTTAACAATGACTAATTATATGAGATGTCAAAATACTAGTATTGTAATAAATACTGCAGTAGAAATGAAGCTTATTTCACCTCTTTCTGTTTCCCCCACTCTTTCTCCTTAAGGATGTTGTCTTTTCAGGAACCCTTGAGGACATAAGAATTAATAACAGAAAGAAGAAAGAATAGTATTTTGACAAATTATAAAAACCTTTATGAAATCTAATTTTAGAAGGAAAGTGTGGAGGTAAAAGCCTGTAACTTTGCTGAAAGATTTAATTGTTTATGTTGAATATTTTTCATTATCTTTAAATAAAAACCAGAATATGTATTTTACTTCTTGTTTCAATGATTTGACATGTAACTTGTTGTATGTTTTCGCCAGTTATAAAAATTAATCTGTACATTAAAACATTTGTTTTCTAATGTCCACTTACTGGACTACAACATTCTCTTCGCCACATGCAAAAAAAAAAAAAAAAAGAAAAAAATCACATTTGTCTTTATTATCTTTTATCAATAAGGGTCTCTGTTACTTCTAATTCAGTAGTTATGTCAACATTGGGAAGTAAGCACACAAGACAAATTGTATATTACATGAAAGAATTAACTTTGTTAAATATATTGCCCTTCGTATTTTTTAAAATGTAGAGAAGTTTTAAAAATTACCTGTAATATTAGCTGAAGGTTAATGAACAAATTTTTGTGAGGTAGTAAGCTGTCCACATTGTCAAATATTACCCAAGAAATACAGTTTTAAAAAATAAAAACTAATCATTTAGGTTAAATAATTATTAGGATCATGCAGATTGTAAAATCTGAAGTCAGTGAACACCGCAAGCACCAAAAATATGGCATCCTCAGTATTACCAAGATACATCGGTGACTTCAAAGTGTGACATTGCCACTTTTCAGCTTGAAGTAGCAGTTACACTTTTAATTGCTATCACACTTCATTCACAAGCAATGTAATGACACTACTTAGATACAGGGATATCTTGTAGGAATGGTAGTTGTTATTGGAATAGCAATTTGTTTTCCTGTCTAGAAACTACTCAGTACATCTAACAGATGTTATTTTTCAGTATGATGACATTCTTCAAGCTTCCAACTTATAAAATTCTCTACTACCGTTTTTTCAGAAAACTACTATATATATGAAGTCCCAGTTTTGGATTTAAGCCTGTGTTTGGATTAAATATTCACTCATTCAGTTTTAGGACTGTCTTTGAATATATGGTCATTATTTCAATTAATCTCGTGTAGTAGTTTTCTATAGTGGATCCCATGAAATTGAAGTTTGATTAAAATTAAATATCAAGAGCAAAGTCCTAATCCTTTTCAATTAGTCAATGCATTGATCAATGATCGCAGCAGGATACAGAGATGAATAGAATTCACTCATAATGAACAAAAGAAGGGTCTACTTAGTTTAGTAGAAGAGATAAAGTTGTACTAGTAGTAGCCAACTCAACAAGTCTTGGAAGTTGAGTGAGCCAGTGATAATTCTGGTGGACTGATGATGGCAGCTCTGTTTAACCTGGGGAGCTGCTGCTTCACTCAACGTGGATGATTGTCATAAAGAGATTGTGTCTGGTATTGCTGTACATTCTGCTTTATGAACATTTGCTTTTTATATGTACAGGGAAAACGACATAATTTGGGGGAAAATTGTAGTTCGTAAGCTGCCAATCTGTAAATTAACTAAGCTAAAGAAATAAATCGTTATAACCAGAGCGGTGCCACAGAGGAGGCAGCGCTGAACTTTTTGGGTGTATGTGGAGCGGGAGCGGTAGGGAGTATAGAAGTCTTCGTAGATAAAGCAGCCTGCGGTCTCTAAGACCAGAAGACAAGTCCAAGTAACAACACAGGCAACATCGGGTAAGCACAGGCCACCCGCTCGGTATAATACTCCACTTTGGGGATATGAGGAAAGGTCGAATTGGTCCTCACCACCACCCGGAGGGGTAGCAGCCGACCTTCCTCCGGGTCTCGCGAGGAGCCGGGCAGGAGCCGGAGGGCCGGCGGGGTCTCGGAGCCGCCACGGCGACGCGGCGAGCGGGCCGCCGCTGCTGGGAGGTGAGCCCCGCTGAGGCGAGGCGGCTTGGCCGCCGGTCCTGTCCCTCAGCCATTTCTGCCGCTCGCCTTTCCTCTGCTTCGGGGATGTCCGCCTGGGAACCTCGCGGACGCTGGGTCTGGCCCTGGCCAACCCGAACGAGGAGGTGGCTGAGGTGAAGATCTGCCGCTTCCCGGCCCCGGACCGCGGCGTCAGCGTCACGCGGCGCTTTTCCGTGTTGCAGGTGAGCCCGGGGCGCGGCGCGCGGGCTGCGGGAGCGGGGAACCGGGTGCGGCGGGAGGGGAGCGGAGTCCGGGTGCGGGGAGCCGGCGCTCTCGGGAGACCGCCCCCATCCCCTCCCGCCTGAGGTGCGAGCGCGGCCGGGCGGAGAGTAAGAGTCCCCAAGCCCCCTAATGAGTAAAGTGGATTGCGCAGCGCTGACGCGGTCAGTTCTTGTCGCCCGTGTTCGGAAAGGCCAGGGTCGGGACCGCCGGGCTTTGGTGACACGCGCGCGCGCGCATCTGCAGCGTTTGAAGTGTTTTCAGACCTCTGTTAAGGAGGGCACCATTTTTAACAGCCTCCAGGTGTTGCGAAAACTCTTGCAGTGTTAAAGTAAAAGCTAACACCTAGTTTTCAGATGGTTAGGAGTACTTTGGTTGGAGCAACTTACTTTTTTTAATTGCTTCCTATCAAGTCAACTTCATATATTCACTTACGTATTCACATATATCAGGGAAACGGACCCTGTAGAGAGTCGGGGTGATTCTGTTGAAAGAGTGGGCTTTGTTTTGGCTAAATGATCACAGCAGAAACCAAAACGCTTCTTCCCTGTGCTCAACCTGCATGTAAGGAGCCAGTGCATACATTAGTATTTTAGCCCCTTCCCCCCCCCCTTTTCTGTCATTCTTGTGGCGAACCTAATTTTATGAACGCGTTTCCAGTAACTCCCCGTCTTCTGCAATGCATTGACCAGAGTAACATCCCCATACCTGTCACCAAAAAGCAGAGCATTTGGGTTCTTTTATTTTGACTACTGTGGATTCCCCACCAGTTAAAACCTCTGCCAACTGTGAAAATAGAACATGAGTTGAGGGAGTTTGAGTTAACTGAGTAACTGACTGCTTCACCGGGTAGAAAGAAGCATCTCGAATTTGAGATCGGTGGACTGGCGTGTAACCAATCTGCACAGCTACATTTCAGAATCTGCCCCTACCCTCTAGTCTATGACTCATTGCTTTTCTAGGGAAAGAGATATTTGTTTTCTATCTACATAATAATTTTACTTATTCCTTGATAAATGTAACTAATGGGCTTGTGTGTGTGTGGATTTTTAAAATCTACTGTTTTATTTATTATATTTTTAAAAGAGTTATTTATACCACAGTAACTGGGATCTAGGCCAGTGTTGCCCAGTGGGGGTGGGAGTGAGAGGATTCACCAGAGACAGAGTGGGGCGCAAAAATAGGCAAATCTAGTGAAATGCACTGCTGAGGAAGGCAGCAGGAGAGACAGAAGAGGCCTGCTGCACTAGGTAAATCAGCAGGGAAATGGAACTTGTGCGCATTAGCTGGGTATAGCTTCATAGTGCTGAGGCTTTAACCATGTGCCTCCACGGAGGACCCTAACATACTGTTTTATAGCATAAAAGCTCACTACTCTTATTTCTATTTATTACATTAGAATCATTTTTTTTTTTGGCACAACGTTATTCACTTGTACAGTATTTGATTTCTTTCTCTCAGGTGTAGTTCTTGTAGTCCTTTAACCACAACAACACCTGTGATATATCACCATAATTCCTCCTCCCCTGTCGTTAGCCCTCTCCCTCCTCATCTCTTTCTGTATGCCTCAAATCTATGGTCTGCTTTGAGGTTTTCTTTTTCTTGACCTTTTGTTTAGTTTCTCTGTATACTACATTTGATAGTACTAAGTGAAACCATCCTATATATTTTTATTTAATTCTCTTAACATAATACCTTCCAGTTTCATCCATATTTGCACACATGACATTGGTTTATCATTTTCGATCACTGAGTTGTATTCTATTGTGTGTGTGTATCTCAGATCTTCTTATTTACGCATCTATTTTTGGGCATTTAAGCTGCTCCCCTGCTTAGCTGTTGTAAATAGTGCTGCAGTAAACATAGGAGTGCAGGTTACTTTTCAAATTAATGTTTTTTTGTGTTCTTTGGTAGATTCATTTTAGTGTTCTGAGAAACCTCCACACAGCATTCCATAGTGGCTAGACCAGTTTATGTTCCCACCAGTCATGTAAAAGGGCTCCTATTACTCCACATCCCCAAACAGCATTTATTTACACTTTTTCTAATATGGGCCATTCTCACTGGTTCAAGGTGATATCTGTGGTTTTGATTTGCATTTCCCTCACAATAGGTGACATTAAACATTTTTTTCTTATGCCTGCTGCCCATTTGTGTTTCTTCTTTGGAGCAGCATCTTTTTTTTTACCTCTCCTGCCCATTTTTTTCCCACTGGATTCTTTGTTTTTGTTGAGTTGTGTTAGTTCTTTATAGATCTTTGATGTCAGTTATCTGGTGTGCAAATATTTTCTCCATTCAGTTTTTGTTTTGGTTACTCTCTTAGAATCTTTTAGTTTGATGTCCCAACTGTTATCTTTTCCTTCATTTTCCTTACTTCTGGAAAAGAGAGCTCAAATATATTTCTGAGGTTTCTATCATAGTGTTATGCCTGTGCTCTCTTCTATATATTCTATGGTTTAAAGTTTTACTTTCTCTTATCCACTATGTGTTGATTTTCATATACCACGTGATATAGTAGTCTAGTTTCATTTCCGATATCACTTATTGAAGAGGCTTTCCTCTTTCTGGTGTATATTCTTTGTTCCTTTGTCATAGATCAGATCATCACAAGTGTGGTTTTATTTATGGGCTTTCAGTTTGATTCCATTGGTCTGTGTGTCTGTTTTTGTGCCAATACCATGCTGTGTGTTTTTTTTTTTAAAGATTTATTTATTTATTCGTACAGAACTGGGGTACAGGCCAGAGATGCGGAGGGTGAGAGGATTCACCAGAGACAGAGCGGGAAGCAGAACAGGCAGATCTACGAAGTACACTGCTGAGGAGAGCAGCGGGTGGGCCAGGAGAGGTCTGCCTCGCCATGTGGTCGCCTCCGGGGCAGGCGGGAATCGAACTCATGCGGAAGTGGCTTAGTTTCTTAGTGCAGTGTTTTAACCCGCTGCTCCACCAGGGAGGGCCACCATGCTGATTTTATTGTCTGGCTTTGTAGTATAGTTTGGAAGCTGGATGTATAATGCCTCCGTTTTTCATCCTTTTATTCTTGAGTGCTATGGTTAGTGTTTGTGTGTGTGTGTGATTCCATATGAATTTCAGTAGTAATATTCCTTTTTTTTTTTTTAAGAATACCATTGAGATTTTTATTGGAATTGCATTTATTCTGAAAATTGTTTTTGATATGATACCACTTTGATAATATTCATTCTCCAATCCATGTGCAGGGAATATTTTTTTATTTCTTTGTGTCTTCTATTTATTTCAACATTGTTTTGAATTTTCCTTGTGTAGGCTATTTCACTTTCCTTGTTTGGTTTATTTCCAGTTATTTAATTTTTTTCTTTAGTACATTTGTAAATGAGACTTTTTTCTTGGCTTCTTCCTCCTCAAATGATTGTTTGCATGTAGGAAGGCTTTTGATTTTTGTCTCTTGATTGTGTAACCTCCTACTTTACTGAACTTTTCCAGTTCAGTAAATTGTTTACAACTTTTTTTAGGGCTCTCTCCCAATTATTGTATCATCTGCAAATAATGATAATTTTACTTCTTTCTCCATTTAGATTCCTTTTATGTCTTTCTCTTGCCTAATTACTCTAGGAAGGATTTACATATTATGTTGAAAAGCAGTGGTGAAAGTGGACTTCCTTGTCTTGTTCCATATCTTAATGGGAAGACTTTTCATTTTTCACCGTTAAAAATTATATTAGCCATGGGTTTGTCATCTGTTGCTTTTATTATGTTAAGATAGTTCCTTTTATTCTAAGCTTTTTGAGGGCTTTCATCATAAATGGATGTTTATAAAATGCTTTCTCAGCATCTACTAATATGATCATGTGCTTTTTATTTTTGTTGATATTGTGGATTATGTTAATTGTTTTTTAAATATTGAATCATCCTGTGTCCCTAGAATAAATCCCTCTTAATCATGGCTGTATAATCCTTTTATACACTGTTGGGTTTGTTTTGCTAAGATTTTATGGAAAATTTTTAGCATCTATATTCACAAGGGAGATTGGTCTGTTATTTTATTTTTGTATTGATAAGTAAACATAAGTAATAATTATTTATCTTATAACTAACATGGATAAGACTTAGTTTGGTTTTTACATATTTGTGAACAAATACTTTTTAAATATGGATACAAGAATATTTTTATCATTTCCTCAGAAATAATCTCAGAAGTTATAGAAAAAACTGAGATCAGGAGAATGATGGGTAGAAGCAGGCACAGAAGGAATAGAGATTCTGCCCATAAGTATTTTATGACTAGGACACATTTTGATTTACCAAGTTTTAATGTATTATTATTATTTTTTAAAGATTTATGTATTTATTCGTACAGAACTGGGGTACAGGCCGTAGATGTGGAGGGTGAGAGGATTCACCAGAGACAGTGGGGTGCAGAACAGGCAGATGGACGAAGTACACTGCTGAGGGGAGCAGCGAGCGGGCCAGGAGAGGTCTGCCTCGCCATGTGGATCTCCTCCAGGGAAGGCGGGGATCAAACTCATGCAGAAGTGGCTTTAGCTTCTTTGTGCTGTGCTTTAACCTGCCGCGCCACCAGGGAGGGCCCTTTAATGTATTATTTTAAAGGAGCACTCGTTGATCTCTCAGAGTATAAGTGCACATTTAATACAAACCCTAGTTTATTAATTAAAATGAGTAAAACAATACTTGAAGCAATATGTTGAGAATTTGATTAATAATGAAAATTCTGAATAAATGTACATATTTTAAGTTTTGACTGCATTTTAAGAATTTTTTAATGTACAAGTAGGATATATCAGCTTTCCTTTCGTACACTTTATTCTAAATTTTTCAGGTGATGACTCCTTCTTATATCCAGGTTTACACTCAAATTCAACATAATCTCCTGACCAAGAATAAATTTTATCACTGTTTTTCCATCGCAACCGTATGTTATGTTCATTCATGGCTGGTGTTGATACTACACATGGAGCTAATGAGGAGAAAAAGAATGTAAAACATTTAGTGTACAAATATTTTCACAAGATTTTAGACTTAAAAGTACAATCTACACTTTTCAAAAATCTACCCTTAAGTATTTTCAAAAATCTACCCTTAAGATTTTCAAAAATCTACCCTTAAGTATTAATTATTCTTGGTATTAAATCGATTATTTAAATAATTTTAAATGATGTTAAATCAGTTATTTAAATATTTTTATTATATTTGAATTAATTATTTAAATAATCAATGATGTAAAAGTAAGGTTTTATGTTTAATGTGTGATGATTAAATGTTGTAATCTCAGATTTATACCATCAATGATCATATTAAGAGTTTTGATTGAAGAAATTGTGTTGTTAGAAGGATGTTTCAATGTCCTTTTTCCTCATATATTATTTTGTAGCCAAGCATCCAACAGAATAGTATTTTCTTTGTCCATCAAAATTTTAGTTTAAACAGTAAAACATCACATACTACCTTGATTTTCCTAGTTTTCATCAGGATATTAAGATACTTACCTAAGCATTCTGGTGGTTTTGACCATTGTCCATTGTGACATATTACATTCGTTGATCCTTCAATTTTATAGTATGACTTGCATCGGTACTCAACTGATGTTCCTGAAGCATATGCTTGTGATGGTGGTGAGATAGTATCTCCATTGTTTATAGGTGGAGGTGCCCCACATTTTCCTTTAGAGTCTAAAACAAATTATGATTAAATTTTCAATAAATTCAACAGGTTAAAAATATGTGTGAAATCACATGAGACCTTGAATAGCAAGTACTCCTAACAAAAAAAAAAAAATGAAGAATAGAGGTATCATAAGTCCAGATTTCAAAACTACAGTATATTACAAAACTATAGTAATAAAAACTATATGGTATAATAATAAAAGTAGATACATAGACCAATGGAATAGAATTGAGAACCCAGACACAAGCCCAAAGTTAACCCATTGTTGCTTACTGTATGACATGGACCTAGTTTACATTGCATAAAAGAAAATCTGTTTAGCTAATGGTGTTGGTAAAACTGGACTTTGCATGGAGAAAAAGAAAAAAATCAACAAGGGGCTGATTCAAGCTCTACAAAGAACTTATACAATTCAACAAAAAGGAAACAAATAGCCCCCCTCCCAAAAAAAATGGACAGAAAAGTTATTATTACTTATTCTTACAGAGATGCAAATCTAAACCACAATTAGATACCACTTCACAGTTCTGAAAAGGGTCTACATCAAAAAGACCAGAAACAGCAAGTATTGGCAGGCTATGAAGAAAAAAGAAACAGTATGCACTGTTGGTTGCAATACAGAGTGGCTCAGGTGCTAAGAAAAACAGAATGAAGTTTCTCAAAGTGTTAAAGATAGAGTTGTCATATGATCTAACAATTTCAATCTTTTGTATCTACCCAAGGAATGAGAAAACACTGATTCAAAGGTACATATACATTCCTAAATCCATCAATGCACTATTTACAATAGCCAAAACATGGAACAATCATAGTATCATGGAGAAATGAGTGGGTTAAGAAGCTGTGGAATATCATCCACGATGGAATACTACTCAGCTATGTATATATATGAAAAAAAGATGAACTCTTTCCGTCTATAACAATGTATATATAGCTGGATGGGATTATGCTAACTGAAATAAACCAGAAGGAGAAAAAACAGATGGTTTCACTCTTCTGTGGAAACAGATGGTTTCACTCTGATGTGGAATACAAAATTAAGGGTCAGAGCAAACCAAACAAAGATAACCTCTAGGAATATTAAACTATATTAATATCATTTGTTCCCAGTAAATCACTGAGTGTCTTGATGCTTAAGATAGGGAATTTTCCATGATTCTAATAGTTTCAGTTTTTTCACCTCTTTCCTCAAATAAATAAACCATGTTGCTTATTCAGTAAAAAGAAATTGGATTTTTATGTACCATACTTGCACTTGCGTTGAAACATTTTATTTAATAAGAACAACTATATATACCTTATTAGATGTCATATTTGTGATAAATGTTGATATATTGAATGTATCACAAAATACATTATCTAAAATCATGTTAAAATATGATACTCTACATTTGCATTCAGGTGGTGTTGTCCATGTTCCATTTAAACATATCACTTCCATATTCCCAAATAGGTCAAGTGGTTTGTTGCATTCATAACGTACTCTCTCACCAGATGGATACCTGGGCATTGTGTTTAGCATCACAGCATTTTCCACTCTGGGTGGATCTACACAGGAAACATCTGTACAGAAAGAAAAAAAGTATCTCCAAATTAACAACTATTGTGAATAGAAAAATCAGTAAACGGAGTCCCAAATATATTACAAAGGAGACTGAAAATAATCTGTAATGAAAATGCTAATATTAATAAATATGCATACAAAATTAAAGAAAGAGGGATAAAGCAATCTATTTTGGAGAAAGATTGAGGCTAATATACCTTAAATCTCTCATATCCATCAGTAAGTAAGTCATAGAGATTTTGAATCAGTAAAAATGAGAGTTTTACTAGACATTTCCATTGGGTTTAGTAAAATAAACATGCAAGGTGAATTTACAATCCACAAGAAAATCATAATAAAAGATTAATTGACATCAGAATATGGTTTGCAGTCATCCTACTTATGAGTTGTAATTTTGGGCCCATAGGAAAATAGACATGGTAGACACTCCTTCAGAGAAAACATCATGAACTATAATACTTTGAAGACCATGGTTAAAGAAAGATGATTAATTCAGTGATACCAGTAGATGTGGAGAAAAACAAGGAAAATAAAATGTCATTTATGAAAAAACTCTCTATATTTTGTAAATGTTTCAGGTTACTTTAATGTGTTACATGCAATTTATTCATGAGAATCAAGAGATATGTCAGATAGTAAGTTCTATATGATTCTCAAACCAAAGTGTGTACAGAATCCCTTGGGAATTGTTTAACCAAGTTGCATCCCCAGAGATTTTGATTCAGCAGGTTGAGTGGACTTAGGAATTTGTATTTTTAACAGTTTCCAGAAGATGCTGATGCTGCTATTTTAGGGACCAAACTGAGAACTAATGGACAATAGTGTTAGCCACTCAGTATACAATTTCATCCCACTATGTTAAGAAGCATAAACATTTTTTAACCTGGCCTAAAATATCCTGTCTATTTTTAATGATGCTAGATGCAGTGATGACCTAATAAATTAATAATAAGTAATAATTAATAATAATAATTACTATAGTACCTCTACATGTTGGCCTTCCTATCCATTTGCTCTTAATACACTTTACAGTATCAGAACCATCTATTTGGTGATATTTTGGACATGTATAAGTCACTGTTTCTCCTGACCTATATGATTCCTTCTTCTGGCCTATGAGTATGGCATTAGCAAAACTGGGTAGGTCATAACAATCCGATTCTGGAAAAAAAAAAAGAAGAAAGGAATATGAACTTGCTTAGTAAATATTTAAAAATACATAGTGGTCAATAATTATATTTAGAATCATTCTCTCAAAGCAATAAATGTTCTACTATAGCATTCTTATGCAGTGAAAAAATATGTTAGCAGGTTTGACTTGGTTTGGTTTAACAAACTGTAACATAGAAATGAAAGCCTAAAAGAGATGGATACTTGGCAGCATAGTGGGTTGAAGCACAGCACTAAGAAGCTTAAGCCACTTCAGCATCAGTTTGATTCACCACCCGGGAAGTGATCCACACAGTGTGGCTTCTCCTCACCCACTCGCTGATCCCCTCATCAGTGTACTTAGTAAGTCATCCTGTTCTGCTCCCCACTGTCTCTGGGGAATCCGCTCACCTCTCCTGCACCTCTGGCCTGTACCCCAGTTCTGTAATGTATAAATGAATAAATCTTTTTTTTTAAAGATTTATTTATTTGTGCATACAGAACTGG